AACTAATCAGTCTTTGGGAAGAAGGCAAGAGAGCAACAATCTTTCTGAGAGGCGCTCTTGCTGAAGGTGAACCTAAGTTGGGCTGAAAAGCTGGGCATGGATTCCGCACATGTCTAGCAGACGGGCAGCGTTGAAACCCGTCCAACCGTCACAAGGTTCGATAATAGCCGTCGATGTACGGCATAGAGTGAAATTTTCGGACTTACTAGGTGACGGTCCACTGAGCCTACTAGGCTAGAGTGTAGACCTAGAGATAGGCCGTGACTCGGAACACTCCATATACATGGTGTAAACCTGATTTATAGAATATCACTTCTAACAACGCTGTGTTTCAACAAAAACACCCCAGACTAACGGAACGAACTAGAGTTTGGGGGGTTGCGTGCCAAGAATGGCACACTTCTCCAGGAAGCCCATTTCCTTTTGGTGACATGCAGGATATTTCAAATGATTTATTCCGCAACAAATCCAACTAATCGAGTTGTTTATGACCAAACACTCGGTTGGCTGAAGTTGCAAAAATCTACAGCGGAAAATCGAACAGAATCAATGTCGAAAAATTCGATTTCGCGTGAAGTTTCTGCCGTCGATGATGTCTTTAAGGTCCGCGGTAAACTTGATTACTGTTGTCAGTGTACTACCTCAGTTTTTCCATAGTACAAGGTAACCAAAAGCAAGCCCAGGGCAAAGTCATGGGAATGGCGTACTGCTGCTTCCCTCACTCTAGCCGGGCCCCGCCTCTAATGGACGTGTACCTTTTGCAGCTCTCCGGAATTTCGCTCTATAGGGGGAAGGATTGTAACGGTGCTAGCCTCTCAGCCCATCGCGGGGATTCCTCGCTGGCTATGCGCTCGCGCGCCGCGTAGACTTGTGTCAATTAAGCGCAGTGCGGCCGCGTACTAAACACCGAGCCAATATCTACTGTCGGATGGCCGGATTGATAACGGACATGCCGTCTGAGTTCATGCATGTGCACTAACCGCAAGTTTGTGACTCACAGTATCATACACATGAGACTGTGCATGCAACTCCCTAGAGGGAGCAGGAATGAGACATGTAGTCCATGAATTCCATCAAAAGTGTGACCTTTACTCCACCTTCTCTATTAGAGGTTTATCACCAGGCGCCTTTGCGCCTCTCAGCCAAATTTCACTTAAGGAGTAAGTACGTTTCAAATAGGGGGCAAAAAAACAGATTACATGGCACTTCACCATCGAAGTTTGAACTTAACTTCTACTCTTGGATATTAGCAGCCGAACGCATGTGTAGTATGATGTAACTTAGTGCTAGGTGTTTTCAAATTGAGCCGATTCGAAGTTGGCACCGGCACTAAGATTTTTCGACAGAAGCTTTTGAAGATAAGTAAAATGAAAGCTCGAACAGGCTGCCCCGCGAGACTGCCGCATGACTCAAATCTTGAGTCGCTCGACCTAAAATTGTGGTCTAATCTAATTCGCGCTCGGCGTTCGATACGGTCGTACATGAATCGGGTCGTCGAAACCGAGGTTTCGAGCTCCGCAAGAGCGTCGCAACGCTCTTGCATAGTTACTATTGGCAAAGCATCGCCGACTGTCGCAACGGCGTTGCAATGCTTAGGGTATGCATACTGAGTAGCCTGTGTGCAATATCTCGAGATCCACTTCCAACAAAACTTCGATTTATCCATTTATCTGCTGAGCCGATTCAACGGCGTCCTCTTCAGGTTAGCTAGCCGAAAAATTCCTTTGAATTAGATGCAATCGTTGGCCCGGCGCAAATTCCAAATTTCATAGAGGCCCGCCGTTAAAAACTTCTAATATTGAGATAATGTAATCAACCATTCTAGTACCAGACACTGTGTTCACATCGGCATACTTTGACTTGTAGGTCAATGTGTATCAATAAGTGTGCGGCCATTCATGCGTAACTTGCACGGCAATTTTCTTTTTGGTGCGCTTGTGCTCCCATCAACATGGTTTTACAGCTAATTGACTTTGGCAAAGGGTTGCTTAAGTACTATCGGTGATGCTACAAAGAAGTGGGCAGATTATATGTCCTAGACGGATTTTCAACATTTTCAAGCTGGATTACGTAAACTTAGTAGGGGCGAGTTTGCAAGCTTCCGAGTCGAAACTATGTAAGAAGATATCGATCCACGTACATCCTATTGGTCTTGCGTGTCATGAACCGTTTTTCTTCAACATCGAAAAAGTTGTGGCAATAAGGTCGAGCAATCTTGCGACATACCGACTCTCCTAACCGGTGCGCGGCCACTAAAGTAAGCTTTCAAGGCGGCTAGCATCTTGAGGGTCAAGGACCATATCTTGTATAATAGGTCAAGCAGCTTGGCAAACAACATTTGCAAGGCCTTTTTCAACATATTCGAAGTCCTCAACAATTTCTACGCTTCACTTTTACACTTTCAGTCGAGAAGATTATGCCTATGGGAATCTCGTACCCATAGCCGAAATGATTCATCCGAGGCGAGCGGCATCATGCTGCTCAAGGAAAGATTCTTGCGCAACAAATATTGGCCAATCTTTTTCAATAGGCCCGAGCGGGGTTCTAGGAAGTGACCAGATTTGGCACTGAACGACGCCGCGGCGCGGCCCAGCTTTTCGACCCGCTATGTGTAACTCCCGGATCGGGGCCGGGATCCGGCATTAAAACAACGAGCGTTGCCAAAAGATTCGGCAAATAATGAGGCGAGGTTTGCATGTGTTGGACTGGCTCTCAATCCGATGCAGATGACAGTTCACGCATTGAGATTCTGGTGGATCTCTTTCCTACCGAGTCGGATCGACGGCTGACTATGAGCTTGCTGCTGAGATTTGATTGACGGTTGCAAGGCATGCCAGCCACATGCCAACGTTCCGCCCAATGACCTTTGCTGCGCGTGTATTGTATGTCAATCTTCGGCCCATGCATGTTCATTGCGCACTCAGTGACGTCGTTACGTTTCCTACCTCCTCGATATACTTGGGCCGGTGCCTGGCTACATCACCTTTCGTATATGCCCTTGGTATTTTTCCCCTCTTGGAAGAGGCTGGTCATAGCCATCGCGCCGACGGCTGCCCATGTTACCCGCCCGAATGTGTGCTCCGCATCTTCCGACACGTTCTCTTTTTAAGGCTAAGCCCGTGACTAGGTTTCCAACTTAGGTTACTTGACCAAGCCCCCAATCCGGCTTGCACTCATGAATGCAGGGCCTCGTCTTGATATCGTGGGGCTCCTGCTGTAGCTTGCTCGCCCCTGCTAGTGTAGCCTCGCGCAGGCCAGCGTCTACCTTGTCCGCCACCAAGCTCAGTGGACCCGTCCCGCCCCCGAGCTGCAAGCAAGCACGGAGGTAATCAATAAGTGGACTCACGTGGTCGTGACCGGAAGCATGGCGTCGACTAATGACCTAAATTCTAACTGCGGAAGCGAGGCACTCCACATCATTTTTGGAGGCAAAGGCCTTGGTTGCAATTTTCCCCCAAAAGAACCCGTTGTAGAGCACTCTACCTTATCAACATGCCCAAACACAGCGGTCCAGACGTCGGCCGGCGTGAGCGGGGTGTTCAACAAAAACGCGGCGTATGGATCGTCGCCAGCGCTGTCGTCTAGAACACCCATCCCCTCCAGCACCGCAAATGCCGCCTCCCGCGCAGGCAATGCGCCCGGGGCCGCCCCCCAGCATGTCTGCACTCACACACCAGAGACTTCTTAGCAGGGGCCACATGGCAGGGAGATTAGATGATGGAAAGAAAAGAGGAATAAATAGAACGGCTCCCAAACAAATACTTCAAAGATCTCCATTGAGCATCAAAGAAGCCTGATGTAGGACACGTGTGGTGCAACGCCGATTGTGTGCCTAGGCTGGCCCTGTCGTGCACCTGCACCAGCGCCAACACGTGTCCTGCAGTGATGGCCGCACTCCCCGCGGCAAGCACGCCAAGCAGCAGCTCCGCTCGCGCCGCCGTGAACTGGGCCCCCGCCGACGACGCCAGGAAGCTAGCAACGCGCTCCGACGCGGGCGATGCACGCAGTGAGGCGAGGGGCAGCAGCTGGGTCATGATGGCGCGCTGCACCTGGCACACGACAGCAACCACAGGGCCGCGGGTCAAGAAGGCGCCCAGGAGAAGCCAGGGCTCCCGGCAGCTGCGGCCTTGGGACAGACATACGGCCCGCAGCGGGGGGGCGGGGCGGGGTGGGTCACCTTGGCTGCGAGCGGCGCGGGGTCGTGCTGCTGGAGGTGCGCCACGCGGACGACGGCCTCCACGAACTGCCAGAAGAGCAGCGGGCCGCCCGCAGCGCCACAGCCAAAGCGGGCCGCCAGCATGCGCTGCACGCGCGCCAGGGGCAGCTCCGGCGAGAGTAACTGCAGGCACGCGAAGAGAGGGACATAATGTAGAAGGGAGGCAAGCGGACAGCAAACAAACAGCCCACAGCAGGTATTGAGACGGGCTCTCAAACCACGTACTGATTCAGACGGTAGCCCCGAAGCACAACATCTGGACGAGGCGAGTTCGTGGGAGGCAAAGAGCTCCCCTCGAGTGCCCCTGGGTGCGGGCACCCCATCGAGACCCCACCTTGGCGTCTTTGAGCAGCGCCCCTAGCTGCGAGGCCGTCATGACGGCCGCGTCGGTGGCGGCAGAGGAGCCCGCTCGCGCGTAGCGGGCGTACACGGCGCGCAGCTCGCTGGTGGTGCGCAGCAGCACGTGCGCCAGGGCGCGCGCGCCACGCTCGCCGTCCACGTCGCTCTCGAGCAGGTCGTCCACGTGCACCACCACGGGCTCCGGCTCCGCGGCGCCCGCCCGGCCTGCCTCGCCCGCCGCAGCCACCAGGCGGTCGCCGTCAAACGCCACTGGCTGGGCCACCCCGCTCTCCGAGACAAGCACGCCAGGGCCGGCCTTCAGGTTGTCGGCCCACACACCCTGCACCGACAGTCACATGTTAGGCGCAGCACAGCGCCGCCGAAACTCGAACCAGATTCTCGACAGGCGAGCTAGCAATCCCCGCTGGGCTTCCCGCCGATGATTTGACAGATGGAGATCAGCAGAGTACGAGGGTGCCGTTGGGCTGTTCTTTGGGATGGCCATGGAATTACCTTGTACTGTGCTCCCGACGCGTAGGCGAAGGCGCCCTCCCCCATCCTGCGGCCCCGCTCCATGCGCCCCGTGTAGCGGTTGGCCAGCAGCGGCGGCAGCGCCAGCTCGAGGGGCCCCTCGCCCCGCAGCCACGCCGCGTCCACGCGCTCCCCCGCCGGGAGCCACACCTGCTCCCCGCTGCACCCACCCCGCCGGGCCACAACACGTCAGCACGGACAAGACATGGACGGAGATGAACCAGGACGAGTTGATCGGCAGCGGAGAAGTGCTGTCGTTCGAGGCGACTGCCGGGGTGACAGAACCGCTAGCCAAGTTGCCGCAGTCTGGCCGAACCCTGGTTTGCCAGCACGCAGCCCCAATCGTTTGACGGCGCACCTGCCATGCGGCAGCCCGTCCTGCCAGTCGCCACGGTAGATCACGATGGCCGGGGGCGATACTGTGGCCGTCGTCCCCAGCGCGAGCGCGGGCGGCCCCTTGTGAGCGTTGGCCTGCCAGACCATGGTGCCCCGGCCGTGGCGGCGGTCGGCGTGCCATTCCCCGCGGTACACGCTGCCTGAGGGGAACACGTGCGTGCCGCAGCCGTGCCGGCGGTCCGCCACCCAGTCCCCCGAGTACCAGCTGCTGGGCGCGCCAGACGCAGCCGTGCGCAGCACCAGGCGGCCCTGCGGGACAGGGAGAGGGGCGAGGAGGGGAGCAGTCAGGGAGGCAAGTGAACGAGAAGATGCCCATCACAGGCGTGTCAGGAGGAGCTGAGGGTTTACGACAGACTTTCCAGAAGTAGCAGTGTGTGGAGCAACAGGGCAACGCCTTGTGTCAAAGTGCAACACAAGATTTGGAGTCCAAGATGCATGCGTCACACAGCAGGTAATCATGACAGCCACCTCTCAAATGGACATTTCTGAATTTTACGAATCCGTCACAATGCTCATAGGCTACTGATCGTTGATCCTTTGTCCCCTGGACACTGCACCCGCAGCCGGTCTGTGGATTGCGATTAATGAGTCTGTAACCTGGAGAACGGAACGGGTGAAGCAGCAACACGAGATTAGAGTGAAGCGGATGCCATGTCGGGGAGGCATTGGTCGTCCAGGAAGCTCATCAAAGCAACTGTGGCTGTGTCGTGTTGCTCAGCTCCTGTGGTCCAGCTACCGCAGCAAGCACCGTCGTCAGCGTGGGCCAGCAGCCCGCTTCCCCGGGGGTCTGCTCAGGTGTGCAGGAAGACAGCTGAGCCTGAAAAAGCTCTCAGGCGCACCCCCACGGCTGTTTCTATCGGCATGTCTACTGCCCCTGCGCCTGCTTTGGAGCAGAAGGGGGCCGCTGCGCTGCCTACCTTGCCGTGGCGCTGCCCGTGGCACCACTCCCCGCTGTACTGCACCCCCGCCTGGGCCGGCCCCAGGCTCAGGCTGCCCACCCCATGCGGCCGCCCCGCCTCCACCTGGCAAGCACAAGCACGCACTTCGTCAGTCAGCCAGGCCCCACCCCAGGCCAGCCAGATCGTCGCACGACAACATCATACCAGGGCTGCTCAGGCAGGAAGCTGCCAGGCGGGGCAGCGTAACCCTCTGGCCCCTCAGGGCGCGGCGGGGCAGGAGCTGTGGGGGGGGGCATGGGAGGGAGCTCACCTGCCCCTGGTAGCGTGCCCCGTCCGGCCATGTGATGGTGCCCTGTGCGCCCACACAACTTCCCTCAAAGCTCCCCTCAAACTGCAGCCCATCGGGCCACGTGTAGCGGCCCGGCCCCTGCAGTCGTCCGTCCTGCATTGCCCCTGCGTAGCGCTGGCCCTCGCTGAAGGCCAGCTCCACACTTTCCCTGCTCCCCAGCCCTGGCGCTCCCGCGCGGTCTGCCAGCAGGCTGCGCAGCAGCAGCTCCGCGGCAGAGCCCAGGGAGGCATACTCGGCCCAGGCAGGGTCAGCTGCGGGCTCCTCCCCGGCGGACGGAGGGCCGGCACCTTCGTCTGTTGGGAGAGCGGCGGGGACCGGTGCTGGCTCAGGGGCCTCGGGAAGAGGAGCAACCTCCATGACGCTGAGCTGGCACACTGCTCCCCAACCGGACGGCTGGGAAAACACACACGATGGCTGACTGGTGGCGAACCGACGCAACTCAGAAGTGGGGGTAGACCATCTGGGTTACAGGTGCCTCAAATGTTGGTCGCCCATGCTGGCTTACACTCTCCAATCCTCATCTCAGTATCTGTCAGTGTTGAAAAGGGACACAGTCAGTGCCAGGACCAGATTGCCAGCTCTGCGGGTCGTCTTCAAGCCTCCGGCATTGCATCGAGAGGACTACTCCCCCAACTATTCCCAGCAAAGAGATTGCATTCCTTGTCTCCATATAAGCTCCCATGAAGTCGTCTTGAAAGAGGCTTTACCCAGACGAGATGTGTGCTAGGCCTACAGTACCTATCCTACATGACTTCGCAGAGGTGCCAACCTACTTTGTGTAGTACTACGTATGCCCAGATTTTACTTGGGACGGCGCAGCCAATTTAGGGTTTCAACAAATAGTCGATCGCACCAGAATCATGGATCGACGGCCAGTGCTCAAGTGGAGACGGCGACGAAAAACGGGGCGCCGGTACCAGTTGAGTCGCCAGCTTTGAGAGGGCATTCACGTTCGTCGACGCATTTCAAAAATGGCGGGACTCGATATCGGAGAGGTCGTGGAGTCAGACTCAGAGCCACGACATGATCAGGCCTCACTCTGCAGCCTCAGGCGATTGACAATGATACATTGATAGAGAAGAGGTTCACAAAGAAGTCAGATGTACAGCGCTGTAGCGCCAGCTCTTTGGAGCAGCGCCTTGCTGTCAGCCCCACCCTAGGTGACATGGATACATTACAGATGCCCACACCGCAGTCGCAGCACCCACTGCACAGTTTGTAGCTCGAGTGCCATGGGCAAGGTATGGCTACTACTTTCAATGCAACGTTGTTTCATCATAGCTACCTGAGGGCACTGATTGACTGATTGATTTTCTCCGAAGTTAGATGAGCGTATGAACTTGCTTTGTCCGCATGTGATCATTGAAGATTCTGACACCTGGTGCTCTATTTGTTGGTTGCCGAGCAGCGGGGCCGCCCTGCTGGCAAGAAGGCCAGCCAGGCCCCCAAGGCTGCGGCCAGCCAGCCCAGTAAGTATGGCATTGCCCGCTTCCTCGTGCGGAGCACACCCGCCGCCAGACCTGGTGGAGAGGCAAGAGCATCTCCAGCAACAGCTGTGCCCATGCAAGCTTCGCAGCCCAAACTAGACCAGGACGACGGGCCACCAGCGCAGCGCCTTGGTGACGATGAGGAGGCAGGTGAGCCGAAATGGCGAGGCAGTTCGGGTGGTGGACCAACAGCATAAATTGGGGGTCGTGTTTTGGATGCTGCACTATGAAGTTGTAGACTGGGGGCTTTGGAGGCCCAGGGTTCAGAACATGGAAAGGCGACTGGTCCAGAGGGCCACCTGATGTCACAGCTGGCGCAAGCCTGTGGTCATCCCATGACTGACCCGTCTTTATTTTCCCCAGCTGGCAGGTACAGCGACGCCCGGCCTGTGAACCCCTCCCCACGCCCTGCTATGGGTTCTGTGCGGCAGCTTGAGCTTCCGGTGCTCGTGTTGCCGGTGGTGGAGCCGGCCCCTGCGCTGGCCTCGCCCATGCCGCCCCACACGGAGGAGCGCTCTCCCCAGCCAGCCAAGCGTCCACGCATCTCAGGTGGCCTGGTAAGGGGCACACAGTCTAGGCTGAGCATATCTGATCAGTGCTGAAAACGAGTTTGGCAGCTATCACTCCCTCAAGGTTGCTGCTGCACGCATTGTGTACAGGCTCGAGCGTACTACTGAAACTTGCGCTGTGTGCTGCAGGGCTTTCTTCTGAGCCAGAACGATGGAGACGAGGTGGTGTGGCACGCCTCGCCGCTGCCCGTGCGCCCAGCACTGCCCGCCCTGGAGGACGGCCCCGGGCCGCGCGATGGCAGCGGGTATGCTCGCGGGGGCCCTGCTGGGTTCAGTGGGCGCAGCAGCCCCGTGCCGGCGGTGAAGAGCATGCTCAGCACCGCGTCCATGCTCAAGCAGTGCGGCAAGACCACCAGCCCCCCAGACACCAAGGTGAGCCGCGCCAAAAGAGCCACGGCTCGTTCGGACACTGTGATTTGGGGACCACTTTGGTGCTGGCCTGTAGAAAGGCTGGCATGCATGCTTGTGCTGCCCGGCTGGTGCTCGCACCCCTGTGGGGCTGACTGGCCTCTGCCTGTGCAGCCCATGAGCAGCATCCTGGAGCAGTGGCTGCAACCAAGGGCGAGCCCAGCGGTGGGCCCTGCGCCCGGGGTGCTGACGCCCCAAGACGCCAACCGCCAGAAAGCCCTCATCTCATCGCCGGAATATACTGTGGCAGCGGCTGCACTGGGGGCCTCTGTTTCTGAGAGAGCTCTCGTGCTGGTGGATGCCGCTCCCTCAGCCGCCATCTCACCAGGCTCACGTGAACCTCGGGAAGATTCAACAAAGGAGACACCCCCGACGGGCAGGCTGTCGCTCGCAATACAGTCACCGGCAGAACAGGTGGGGATCATGGCTCGGACCCTGGAATGCTGGATGCTGCCCTGCATGCAAACAGGGTGGGCCAGCACCGGGTTCCGGCAGACAACCTGTGCACAAGAACGCAAGATGCTTTCATAACATGATTTGGCTGCCCAGGTTGAATCGAACAGCACTGATCGAAGAAACAAGTCTGCATGGGTTCCCGCAATGTGTCGTGGCGGCTGGCCCGTTGTCTCTGACACGCCGGTCCCCCATGTCGCAGCTGTGGGGAGAGGCTGCCAGCGATGCTGCTCCAGGACTTGCCACGCCGCGCTTCACTGCCCCTGGCCAGCCGGGGAAGAAGGTACGCAAGTCCTGTCTTGCAGGCAATGCACGCTGGGCAGGCCCAAGCAAGAAACTTCTGTTGTAAGAAGAAAGAGGAGAAGCACGGGTCGGTATGCAGCTTCTCACTGCCATCCCGTGCCTTCCCCTGTGTCTGTTGTCCACTCCACCCCTGGCCTGCCTTACTGGCGCTGCCCCATGCTGAGCGGCCCCTGTGCGTGGCTGGCAGGTGCTGCTCGAGTTGCTGGACCGTGTGGAGAGCGCAGTGCGGCAGCGGCGCCAGTCCGGCAGCCCCCAGGATGCGCTGCACAGCAGGAGCCCTCTCATCTCCCGGAGACGGCCCAGCTTAGCCCTGCCAGGGGACAGCGATGCAATCCAAAGATTGGCCGCCAGCCTTGAAGCGATATCAGAGAGGACAGAAGGCGAAGGCGAGTCCCCTGCCACGCTTGAGTGTCAGGAAAAGGGGCTGGCTGTTGTTCCGGAGGGGTGTCTGCACCCTGGCGAGAAAGACGGGGCCCCAGGAGGAGACGCCGGGCCCCTTGCACTGGGCGTGAGTGCGGCTGAGCTGGCCGCGCTGCAAGCGGCGTTTGGGCTGGACGAGGAGGAGTGGCAGGACGAGGCCCTGCTGCAGGAGGTGCGCGCAGCGTGCCTGGCCGCAGAGGGGCACGCGCCACAGCCACAAGCACCGCAGACGGGGCAGCCGCAGCAGGCAACAGCCACGCCTCTAGAGAAAGACGGGGCAGGGCAGAGCTTGGCACGGGACATGGAAGCGCACACAAACGAAGAGCGAGCAGCAGCGGAGGCCCAGGTCGCAGGCACACCGGAAGGAGCAGAGAAGGTGGCCGCAAAGGGGGGAGTGGCAGCAGAGGGCTGGGAGGGGCAGCCTCGAGGCGAGGGGGATGCGGCAGAGGCGGGGGGACTGGACACAGCGCTGCTGCAGCACCAGTTCGTGGTGACGGAGGTAGGTTGCCCCGCCCTACGGCATAGCCTGCAACTGGCGGAACCCAGGAGAAACAGTGGGCCGGTGGGCTGGCACGCTCCAAGAACGTACTCAGCCTGGTAGATGAGCTGGGCTGTGCAATCCGCAGTGATCCGCACTTTCAGGGCAGCTCTGCGGCTGCCTCCTTGCTTGTGCCCAGCGGCGTAACGCTTTGTGCCTTGGGGTGCTGCAGGTGGCGGACTGCGCTGGCACTGAGAGCGGCCTCGAAAATGTCCCCCAAAAGGTGAGCTTCGCCCACTCCCGTCATCGCCTGTCCCCCTCCGATTTTTGCTGATACAAGGTTGCACAGGAGGAGCCATTCGCAGGGACAAACGCCCTCCGCACTGGCGTCCCTGGCCTCCCTGGCCGCTCTGTTGACGGAGCGCTCTTTGTCGGTGTGCCAGGTGCTGCGGGTTGTGGGCGACCTTCACGGCGATGAGGCGCGGCTGCTGCTGCAGGACGAGTGGTGAGCCACAGGAGAGCGCACTCCGCCAGGGGAGGTGGCGTCAAGGGATGTGGCGGGTGATACAATACTGATTGGCAAAATGAGGAACACCGCCCGAATGTGGCCCCACCTTTGTCAAGAGCCACCTCTCGTGTTCGACTAAATTGGGAGTTGATGGGCTGCCTCGCTTGGCCGTCCCTACCGCTGACTGTGCCTCGTCCTGGCCTGCAGGGCGGACACCCCGGTGGCAGCCGGCGACCGTATGAGCGTGCTCGGGGAGTGGGCGGTGGACCCTGCGACGCGCGACCGGCAGTGCGTGCTGTCGCGGCGCGGGGGCCTGCTGGTGCACCACCCCGACGTCCTCGTCAAGGGCTCCAAGGTCAGGCCCCGCCTCACCCCCCCGTGGACCAATACGACCTTCACGAGCCCCGAAAGTTAGACAATTGCCGGCCCGGGTTGTTAAGTTGCCCATACCTTTTCCTGGTAGCTTGCGTCTTCGCGAGGACGTGAGTGTGCTGGCGTTGAGGCGGGTGTGGGGGCGGCTGGTGCGTGCAGGTGGGCAGTGCGTCGGCGTGTCTGCGGCGCGTGGTGCTGGAGGAGCGGCTGCACGGGGACGACATGAGCCAGGCCGCGCTGCTGGGCACGCTGCTGCACATGCTCTTCCAGGTCAGCACGGGCCGGGGCAGCACACACCCAGCGCCCCGCAGGGAGAGGGGCGGACTCTGCACAGCTGCTCTATTCACCAGAGCAGAACAGCATCTTTGCAGCCGTCGAACTTGCATGCAAAGCCTCTGCCCAGGAACGTCGGCGCTTCTGGCCGCCAACGTTTCCTGGATGAAGGTGCGGCTGCGCATGTGGTCACCACCTCGTCGTGGACGATGACGCAGTGCGGGCGGCGGTGTGGTTGGCGCTGACGCGGGGAGATGGTTGCGGGTGCAGGCGGCTCTGTTGAGCGGGGACGTAAGCAGCGAGAGCCTGGAGGAGGAGGCGTGGCTGCTCGTGCAGCAGGCGCAGGAGAAGCTGTACGCCGCAGGGGGTGAGTGACCCCCCCCTCGCAGCCCCCCACCAGCTGGCGCCGCCACCAGTGTGCCGCCCAGACGTCGGCTGCACGCACGTCTGTGGGCCCGGGCCGGGGCTGAGCGGCGCGCTGGGTGTGGTGTGTGCAGAGAGCGAGCAGAGCGCGCTGGAGCACCTGTGCGGCAGCATCCCCGCCATCCAGCACTGGGCGCACGACTTCCTGCGGCCAGCGCACGCGCAGGTGAGAGCCCCACCGAGGAACGTCACACCGGTCGTTCACGAAACAAATTGTTCCAATTTCGAGAAGATGCATCCTAGTAAACTGAATAGCCGGGGATGAGCACTCTTCCTGCCTCCTTCGGGCCAGGCCTTGAACTTCGTTGAACTCTGGTTTTACTGTCCACGTGACCTGAATCTGCTTCCCCTGATGCTCCTTGTCGCTTTCTGTTGGGCTTTCAAAAGATGAACGGCAGTCTGACCTCTCTACTTTGCAGGTACCGGAGACGATGGTCGACTTTGGGGTGGAGGGGCAGCTGGCGACCGCCGTCACGCAGGTGAGGTCTCCACCGCGCCGCATCAGGGCCCCACTGCAAAGGACCAACGCCGGAGGGGTGTCAGCTCGGGTGCGCCCCTGTCTTTGCGGGACGTCCTTTGTATGCTCCCCTTGTATGCTGCTTCCCTGCTGGCCCGCGCCGACCGTCTCCCCGGTGGGGGTGGTGCAGGTGGTGGACATTGAGGAGAGCGTGTGGTCGCCGCTGTACGGCCTCAAGGGCAAGATCGACGCCTCCCTGCGCGTCGCCACCCGCGGCCGCGGCCCCCCCCGCACCACAGTCATGCCCTTCGAGCTCAAGACGGGCAAGAGCACCACGGGATTCGTGAGCGCTCCCGCACTGCCCCGCCACATCGCCTGGCTAGGCGGGTGACGCACTGCCGGCTGCGCTCTGTCCTGCAAGGTCGAGAGAGCGCCTTCCGGGAAAAACACACTCGGCAAAGAAGAGGCATCGTGAAATCCAACATTAGATGAATTGCAGAATCTTGTTTTAGTGCCAGCTGCCACGCCTGCTGGCTGGCCCTCGCCAGATGCCCTGCCCCTCCTCCGCCTGACTGCCCCCTCGGCGTCGTGCGGTGCAGGCGTTGCTGGACCACCGCGCGCAGGTCATCATGTACACGCTGCTCATGGGCGACAGGTCAGCAGCGCCGCCGGCCCTTGTGCGCACCCTGGCCACGCTTCTCGGGTCTTCGATGACTGTTTCGTGCCCTCTGCTCGCTTCGCGCTACGGCTCGCTCGCTTCTGCTTTTGCGCGGCAACTTATCGCGTGTGTCCCCGGTCCGTGCAGGTATCAGGAGGCCATCCCCGGGGGCCTGCTCTTCCACAGCCATACGGGCCGCTCGCTGGTAAGCCCCCCAGGCATGCTCCAACTGGTTCGGGATACGGGCAGGATCGCGTCGCTCCCGCAGCGCCATGGCCACCTCGCCGCCGCCTACCCCTCCGTCTCTGCCTGCTACTTCGGCCTTCCCCTCTCTGCCTGCTGCGCTGACGGCGGTGCGCCGTGGCCGATGCAGGGCATCCCGGTGCAGCGCAGCGAGCTGGTGAGCCTGCTCCAGCGCCGCAACCAGCTGGCGCACGCCCTCGCAGCCGCCGCGCGCAGCCACCCCGCCGGCCCCGCGCTGCCCGCCGTCCTGCAGGTGAGCCCCACAAAGCGCCGCCCCGCACACGACCCGGGGGCCAGCCTGGCCTGGTGGTACCATAACATAGTTTCAAGCTGGAAGTTTGCCCGCAGCCTCTGTAAACGCTTCTGTCTCCTGGCGGCCATAGTCTTCTCGTGCGCCGTCAGCATGATTTATGCGTGGCTGCAGGAGGACCGGCAGTGCCAGAAGTGCTCCCAGCTGGAGGCGTGCGCCGTGTACCAGGCAGCCACCCACGAGGCAAACCCCGCGCAGGTGAGCACACTGCGGCCCGGCGCTGGCCCGGGCAGCCAAGAACTTGGTGAAGCCAACACGAGCAGAGACAGCCGCGTCTGAAGAAAAGTTCTTCAGATTTGGTGATCACAAACAAGGAAAGCCTATGTCCCTCTTACCGCGGATGTGCCTTGTGGCGTCAGCCCGCTTGCCACGTTGCTGACACACTTGTTCCGGCTGCTGCAGGGCGGCTCGTGGGACTGCTCCGAGAACGAGGCGGTCGCCGGCAAGGGCAGCCACTTGAGCGCGGGCCACGCCGCCTTCTTCCGCCACTGGGAGTACCTGCTCAGCAAGGAGGAGGAGGAGACGCAGGTGCCCCCCGCAGGAGGACGCTCCGCCCCGCTCTTTAGCTGCGACCGCCTGTCTTGGCACACTGTCTTCCCTCAATGACGAACCTGCTTGTTCCCCTGCACGCCTTCTTGGCCGCCTCCCCGGCCTGGCTCGCGGCGCCGCGCTCGTGGCTGACTGCTGCCGTGTTTGTGCGGGCTGGCAGGGCGACCTGCGCGGGGTGTGGGGCGCGAGTGGGCAGCAGCAGCAGGCGGCGGGCCAGTGCCTGGCGGCGCTGCGGCTGGCGGGCGAGCCGGAGCGGCTGGCGGGCGGCACGGCCACGGCGGGCGGGCGAGCGCACACGCTGGTGTACCACTTCCGGCCGTGCGGCTATGCGGCGCAGGACGGGCCGCTGCACGAGGGCGACTACGTGGTGAGGACACCGCGCACCACTCAATGTTTCGACCTTCTGCACAGCAGCGGAGAAGGTATGGTGGCGACCAGAATCTGCAACTGGCGATGCATGGCTGATGATGGTGGGGCTGTCCTTTGCGCTGCAGTTGTTGAGTACGGAGGGCGACCATGCGGCCGTGGCGATCGCCACCGGGGTCATTGTCAGCAAGGACCCCGACGGAATCAAGGTGAGGCCGCGGGGCTGGACTCGATGCCGGGGCTGGACTCGCTTCCCCGTCAGCGACAGTTCTTAAGACGATGCTTCACGGTTCCTGTGTGGACCTGCGCCGGAAGCCTCGTCATCTCAAGGAGCAAGTAGCCTTCCTGCTCCCTGTCAGTTGACTACGCATTCTCCTGGACCCGGCTCAGCAAGGCGAGGAAGGCAGAGAGCGCGGGCACAGCGGACTGCGATACGAGGCCATTCTGGAGACGTGTCCGACCCGGTCCGAGTGCCGTCCTCCGGCCTTGCACGGCAGTGCTGAGCGCCTTCTCCTTGTGGGTGTCTCAGGTGTCAGTGCCGGCGGCGCTGCGGCTGCCTGCGCGGGGCGGCCTATCGGGCGCCGAGCGACTGGCGAGCACCACCTGGCGCCTGGACCGGAACGAGACGGCGTACCACTCCAACCTGGCAAGGTGAATCACCGACGCCCTGCTCATACCCGTCTCACGCAGATCATCGGCCTGCGCCGCCGCTGCTCTGAAAGTTGGTTGTGCCGTTCCGAGAGGCAAGGCAGGGTCAGGCCGGACTGTCCCCCGTGTGACTTACTCGGCCCCTCTGTGTGCAGGAGCAACCTGGTGGCGCTGCTGGCCGCCAGCGGGGACGACCGCCGGAGAGCTCTCATCGTGGACAAGCAGGTGCGCCGCCACCCCCCTCCGCCCTCCTCTCGGCTGCCCACCCGCGTCGGCGCCAGGGGGTGCTTGACGATGAGCATTGCGTGTGTCCCCGGATCGACCCGCCCTGCCTCGCCGCCGTGCCTGCGTCGTGACCAGCGTCGTGGCTGCTGCTGCTGTGCAGGCCCCCGTGTTCGACGGCTCGCTGCTGGGCAGCCAGGACCCCGCGCTCGCCTACTGCCGCCAGCTGCACCACATCAACGACGACCAGCGCGCAGCGCTCACGCAGGCGCGCCGCGACCCTCACCTCATCCCGATACGCGCATCTTTGTTTCTCTTCCACCCGCAGAAAAGGCCGTTCAAATCGTTGCACTTACCGCTCCTTTTGTTCCTTTTTCAAAAAGCTTTCACCTCAGCTACAGTATCCCCTGTTTGCGTCTTCGCTTGACGCATTCTGCATTGTCTGGAGCATTCGGTGGAACTCCGCCTGCGCTTTCGTCTGTCTGATGACTGCCTTTTCAAGAAAGCGAGGCAACTCGAACTTTCAGCGGATGCCTTATGCCAATTGGTTCTACACGGGTCGAGGCCGCCGAGTACAGCTTCACTGGCGCCCCTTTCAGGCCCTTTTGTTTCGAGGCAGGGCGACATCCTGGTGCGCAGCCGTTCCGAGCGCACAGGCCTGCCATGCACGCGTGTGAGGCAAGTCCGCCTGCATCGTGCTGGGCAGTGTGCTCGCCCGCGCCTGCTGTCGTGGCTACGGCTGACGGCGGCGCGGTGTTCGGTGCGCGCAGGTGCTGTGCGCGCGCGACTACTGCATGGTGCTGGGCATGCCCGGCACGGGCAAGACGACCACCATCTGCCACGCTGTGCGCGCGCTGCTGGCGCGCGGAGCGTCCGTGCTGGTGACCTCGCACACCAACTCCGCCGTGGACAACATCCTCACCAAGCTGCACCAGCAGGTGACGCCGCACGCCCGCCCCGCGCCCACACAGCACCCTGCTGCCTTGTTTTCCCTTCGTGTTTTCCTCCGTAAAGCTACAAACATGCTGAATCGTCAGCGGGGCCTTCTCCGACACTTCTTGTATCTATGCCGAGTCTGACTACGGCTCTCCCGCTCTCGTACATACCAGGACCGCCGCCCTGGTCGCCTCCTGCTCCTGCACTGTCGATGCTCGGGTCCCCGGTTGCTGTGTGTGCCAAAACTCTGCGTTCGCGTGATGCAGGGCGTGGAGTTCGTGCGCGTGGGCCGGCTGGCCTCCATCCACCCTGCGGTGCAGCACGCGGCTCTCGACAACCCGGGTAAGCGCACCCCGCGGCAGAACCCCGGGAGTAAGAGGTGTGCTGTCGAGCGGCCTCCTTGCACGTCCTGTGTGCCCCCCTCGTCCCCTGCTCCTCCCGGCTCTCATTTCGCTCCCCTGCCTCCAGGCACGGCTCCCGCGTCCGTGGCGGCCCTGGAGGCGCGCGTGGCGGCGGCGCGCGTGGTGGGCGTGACGTGCCTGGGCGTGACGCACCCTCTGTTCCGCAAGCGCACCTTCGACGTCTGCATCGTGGACGAGGCATCCCAGATCACGCTCCCGGTCAGCCCGCCCCGCCAGGCAAAACACTCCCCATCTTTCCCCCTGGCTATCGCATGTGGCGTGCGTCTCTGCCTGCTTGCACCCCGGGTGGCCCGCCCCGTTCCCTGCCGCGGTGTGGTGATCGCTGTGTGCTGTTGTGTGCGTGTGCAGGCAGTGCTGGGGCCCCTGCTGTGCGCGCGCGCCTTCGTCCTGGTGGGCGACCATCACCAGCTGCCGCCCCTCGTCAAGGTCAGCCCCCCGCCCCCCACATCACCTTGCGACATTGCTTTTCGTTGGCGGCCTCACTTCCAGCCGTGCCGTCAGCGGCTCCATGCTCACATGGTCTGGCGGTGCACCTCGGCAGCTATTGAGAGTCGGCCCACGTTCCTCTGCTTTTACAGAGCGCTGCTGCGCGCGAGGGCGGCCTGGACGTGAGCCTCTTCAAGCTGCTCTCCGACGCGCACCCGGAGGCCGTGGCCGCGCTGCAGACGCAGGTGAGGCACGCACACGGCGCACCCGCGGCCCCGGCCGTGTGGCTGGAAGGGCCAGCAAGTAAGGGCAATGCCGGCAATGGTTGGTTGTTCAAGGCCTGTGTTATCACGATGTACAACGACAAGGCCCGGCGGATTGATGTGGCTGGCCTGACAGCTAGAAACGGTACGGATCAGTCAGAATGATATCTCAGTTGAACGATCCGGCGAGCTAGAAGTCATGATGGCCCATAGAGTCATTGTTGACGACATCCATCGGAAAGTGGCTTCCTCGGCTGCTCCTCTGGCGCCCGGAGCCTGCGGCCGGTCTGCTGACGCGGCCCTGCCCGGGCTGGTGTGCGTGCAGTACCGCATGTGCGCGGACATCATGCTGCTGAGCAACACGCTGGTGTACGACCACCGGCTGCGCTGCGCGTCCCCCGCCCTGGCCTCCGCGCGCCTGGCCGTCACCCCCGACTTCGCGGGCAGCCAGGACAGCGCGTGGCTGCGCGCCGCGGTGGACCCGCTGCGCCGCGTCGTGTTTTTGGACACGGACTCGCTCGGCGGCGGCGGCCAGGAGGCGCGCCAGCAGGGCGCCGTGCACAACATGGCGGAGGCCTGCCTCGTCACCAAGGCAAGCGCGCACACACACGGCCCCTGCACTCTTGCCCCGCACACGTGCCGCGTGACGGCGAACTTCGAAAAGCCTGTGATCCATCCATGTGCTGCTGTACTCTGTGCTGCAGTCCGATTGGAGGAGCAGCATTGACCAGCCGAGCGGATGTGAAGAGGCCGCCAGACGAGTTGGCGACAACCTTTTTTGGAGGTATGATCATCGTAGTCGTTGTCCGCTGGCAGGTGGTGAGTGCGCTGGAGGCGGGCGGCGTGTCCCCGGCGGACATCGGCGTCATCTCGCCGTACCAGGCGCAGGTGAAGCTCATCGCGCGCCTCACGCCCGACCTCCGCGCGGCCGGCCTCGAGGTGCACACCGTCGACAAGTACCAGGTGAGCCGCGCTGGCACACGCCGCCGCCGCCGGCCGCCGCTCTGAAAGTTTAATCCCGGTGGTGCGGGGCCCTCGGTGCTGCTATATTCGCATGCTCGCTTCCCGTCTCGTGGCCTGCCTTGTTTCGACGTAAGACTGGGTGCGCCGCTGGCGGTGGTGTGGCCGTGACAGCGTGGCGGTGGCGGTGCAGGGCCGCGACAAGGAGTGCATCCTGGTGTCGTTCGTGCGCTCCAACCGGGAGAAGGCCGCGGGCCAGCTGCTGCAGGACGCGCGCCGCATCAACGTCGCCCTCACCCGCGCCAAGGTGAGCCGGGCCGCACCCTCCACGGTCAACGCGAGATTGCTTGGAAAGTCCTTGTCAAGTTAGACGGAAGCTTGAGGAATCCCTGTTTCAAACCACGGCAGGAAGGATCGTGGGGTTGCTTTGAGGGACTGCCAGGTTTTTGCGCCGCCCCTGCTGTGGCCCTGACTGCGGCGCGCGGTGCGTGCTTGGCTGCAGAAGAAGCTGGTGCTGGTGGGGTCGGGCAGCACGCTGGGCGGCGTGCCGCTGCTGGCCGGCCTGCTGCGGCTGGTGCTGGACCAGCGCTGGCTCGTCTGCCTGCCCCCGCGCGTGCTGCAACACCAACCCCTCCACGTCCCGCGCGACGACGCGGCCGCGCTGCGCCTTGCGGCGCACGTCCAGCAGAGCCTGAGCCAGCGCGAGGTCGACGGCACACCGGAGCCGGATGCCGCACAGAACGGACACGAGAGCAGCGAGGGAGTGGGAGAGAGCACGCCAGCACGGCCGGCACGGTACTCCCCTAAAGGAAAGATCTGGAAAGTATTCCAGAAAGGCACGAAGAGCAAGGACATGGCAGGGGGCCGAAGGCCGCTGAAGCCGATCTCGGACAACGTTGTAGCAAATAGGAAGCTGGCCTAAGACGTTTGCTAGGCGAGGATTCATTGCAGAGTCAAAAAGCTAACGAGATCAGGTTGACATCCAGCCAAACAATAACAAATGTCGATGCAGTCAATTACCTTGTAGAGCGAGTTGAGGGGAATTCGGCAGAATCAACCGGTGAAGAATCGATGTTCTTGATGTTCAAAGTGCTGCGTGTGCTTCGAGATGGGCCTACCCCGCAATATGCTTCGTTGCTGCACGATTTTTCGCGCAGTCCGTCCAGTCCCTATGATGTGGAGTCATGCAAACGTTCCCTTTTCCATGTTGCAATTAGCATGAGTGCCCAGACATGTGCGCATGAGCCTGAACGTACGTTCATCTTTGTTCGATTTTCCGTGATGGACGTCCCGGGTTCGCTGGTTGTGCGTGCATCAATTGCAGCCGGTCAACATTCTTGAAAATAATGCAGGGTTACCTGGCCCTAATCAACGCACGAGCTCGACAAGTTGCGGTCTTTACGACAGACTCCTGAGCTTGCAAGCTTCGCCCTTTTGCCTTGTAGGCGCCTGGCTGCAGTATCATGTTGTATAGGGTCTGATCGAATCCGTGGTAAGATTCGCACTCCAACGGACAATGGGGTCGGCCGTGGATGCTCATATATTCATGCTGCAGCTACAGCATGCTTTCACCAGCTAGATCGAGCTACATGATTAGCATGCATGTTCAAACAAGAATTGCAGCTCCAGCTCTTTACTTTGAGCGGGCGGTCATGAGATGTTGCAGTACGCGTGCTTGCATGACTGCTGTTGCAACATCATTAATGTGTACCTCCGTCCTTCTCTCGCAGCCAAGCTCGGCCGCTACAAGGTCACCGACACCGCACGCCTGATCTGCATGGAAGCGGCGAAGCCCCACGTCTACTTTCCTCAGCAGCAGGACGTCCTCGACGCTCTCGACACTGCGGGCGTGGAAGCCAAGATGACCACTGTCGGTGGCGCATTCCTTCTGGAATGCATTGCAATCAACCCAGGCTCGAAGTGCAGGACCTGGCGCCTTGTTACAATTAACGCTGCGGCCAAGACGGCCATGATGCGCCGCTTCCAGCAATTCAGGCACCCACTTAGAGACGCTAGACTCGAGGCGTCCGACTGGACCTGGGGCAAGAAGTTCTGAACCGGAATTTCAAACTTTGCAAGTTGGTAGTCAGGTCTGAGTAATTGGGATCGCACTGCGATTCACGCACTCAGACGACGGTGGATTCATTGACCCAACTCTTCCCATGGATACCACCTTTTTCACTATATCGAAGGCTCTGATCGATTGGCATCCTTTGATCGCTCGATACAATTTTGTAATGACTCAGCCTGCAGCAATTGCATTCATTCGACAAGGTCGTTTCCCATGATTATCGCAGACTCTAGCCTGCTCTCACAACAAAACATCGATCGACGGATCATATACCGATCTACATATCTTTCACAACCATGTGGATTCTTTATATCGGTTCCTGTCCATGCGACCTGCTTGATGCCAATTTGCCAGTGAAGCCTTACAAGCACGGGAGGGCACCCCCGGGGTACCTTTTCCCTCTTCCCAAAAACCGGACGCAATAAAACAGGGCGTACTGGAAGAGGGTTTTTAATGGCCCGACACTTTCCCCTCTGCTAAGCAACAGCTTGGCCTTGCTCGGTCTATCTTCTGCATGGACAGCTGGTACTTAGGGAATGTTCCAGCCAAACGTCTCGCCCGGCAGGTGGCGGCCTCTGAATACATGAGTTTGTTCGTCAAAATTCTTCGGAAGAGGTAGCCCTCACCGACTTACTCAGGGCCAACTCCTCCCCGGCTTTCACAAGTACACAACAGATTTTGTTGCGAGTCCTCAAAATTGGACCGCCAAGAAGCTCTACATGCAGCTTCATCGTACATACCACTCCGACCGAACGAGCCTACAACTCTAGCAAGCAAGCCAAGACGAAGCCCAAAATATCTGAAAGGAACAGTTTTTTAGGGCTAAAATGAGACACTTTCATTCCCATAAGAGTGCACATTCATCACTTTTGAAGGCTTGCTTTGTGTTGATAGATGCATGTAGATCCATAGCTCAAAACCGGTTAGGATCCTGGTAATATACGGCAATTTAGCATTAGTAGAGTAGCTTCTTGATTCTAACGTCCAATTACTCGTAACAAAATGTGTACTGGTTACCAGGTCCATGGCTTCAATGCTACGGCCTTATAAAAGAAGTATACATACATTAGACTCAGGTTCGTATATACCTAGTGCCTCCCGTACGGCCGGTTGTTCCAGGCATGCAGTGCAGCATGAGTTGTGGTTTAATCATATACTTTGCAGCGGCGGCCGGGATTGCATAGAGGTGAACACTTGATTGCAAGTCGAATTGCCCCGATTGAATTGCAGGTAATGCTCTCCGACCCTCTAAGGCGTATTCCATTAGGAACAACAGTGCTATTGGCAGCTCTCCCGAGCTTGCGGTGTATGCCTGAAAGAGCATAATACTATATCATGCATTCACATCAACTGCGTTTATTCTAATTCTTAGGAGGCAGTTTTCGTTGATTTTTTGACGGGAACCACGATGATCGATAGACCTTTGTATTGTACAGGATTCACCGAAATATTCAGCGAGCTAAAGAGTCACCTTGCAATCAAAAGATACGCTCTACCAGTCGCACCCGAATCCTGATTGCCCCATGCTTCTAACATGGCCAAGGGCGTTGACGACCAGGAAACGACCATAAAGACGGGCTGACCTAAATTTGACAGCGACATAACTTCGTCATATTAGATCAATGTTGTTAGTCTGCTCAAGAAGAATTCACCCGTGAAGGCTCAAAGCTTTTAACTCATTTTTGTTGCATGCATTGCTTGACAGCGCATGACAGGCAGCGTGGTTGCTGTCGGATGGTTTCGTGTCCGCGCAAAATGCTCGACACATCCAGGCCCGCCGCCTGGTCCTCAGGGTCACCGTTATCGCTGTCGACACGTGTCCTCCGAGCTTTCCCGTTGTCATGCTTGGCCGCCGTCCTTGTGCTTCGCTTCAGTGCCATCAGCCGGCCCTTGCAACTGCTCTGGTTTTATGAGACCCGCCTCGTAGTCCAGCACAAACCGTTGCCTCTGGGAGAGAGTGGAAGAAGAGAGGTCAGGACGCGATCGTAAGAGGCAGTTTCAACCGCACTAGACGACAAAGCAAAACGCCCTCGTCAAAACGATTCAAGATGACATACAAAACGACTCCAAATATGAAAAAGCTGGCATAGCAGTCTGGTCTCTTGGCGGGCGCTGGGGGCTGACCTTGAAGTCCTTGTACAGCTTGACGTAGTGCTTGACGTGGATGTTCTGGTTCAGCAGACGGCGGAAGCGCTGCTCGGTCATGCGCATCTTTTCCGCCGCCACGCCAAAGTCGCCGTCGCAGGACACGAGCAGGTCGAGCAGCACCTGGCACCCCTGCCACCACAGCAGCACCAGCACGCGCATCAGGGGCCGGTCAGAGGGGACAGCCAGGCCAGGGGGCCGGGGGGCGGACCTCTGGACAAGACTGGGGCTCACGGAGTGCGGCGCCAGGCCAGAGCCGTGAACGACAAAGAGGCGTTCCCCGTGGACCACGAAGGACGATCCTCAAGTGAGTGACATCAGCAACGGTTCATCGAATCGACCAGTTCTGTCGTATAGAACAGATTGAGACACTAGAGCCTAGGCTTTTTTTTGAAAATTTGCAGCCTTCCGCTTGTAGTAGTGCTTCAAAGGAAGTGAGATTACTGAGCCTTGCACAAACACTACTCTCGTCTCAAGCTGGATCAAAATCGTCCTGCATGGTTCACGATGGGAGCCTTCAAAACCAGACACTCAGCCGCGATGTAGAAGTCAGCTCAGGACTTGGGGAAGAAAGGGCTAAAGCCCAAAAATTCAAATGGACGACACCTGGCATAGTGGCAGAGGGCCTTCAAACGGTAGCATTCGAGTGACGTAGTCTTACTTTGACAAATGGTGACGTCTTGAATCCAATTCTGACGTGCTTGCTGAGCGCCCAGTCCGGGTGCAGGTCCTCGGCAGGCATCATGTACCGCACCCGCCGTGGGGGCACGTACGGCCCCTCGGGGATCCGCCGGCGGACTGGAGGCGACAGACAACAAGGAGGGGTCAACCACTACGACCAGTTGGCCAAGAGCCACGCACTTACAAAGAAACCATTTTCCTGGATACTTTCATGTCTGGACAGGACAGTCTGGTACTAGGCAGCTCACCACCCTGATGGCACTTCACATGTCGGGGTCCTTCGACCTTGGCGCACACATCAACCAATGAAGAGTGAAGAGGCAGGCCTCAGGGGGCAGGGGTTCCCAGCCTCCCTACCTTTGAGTGCAATCATTTCCTGCAGTTTATCGAGTGCCTTCATCTTGTTGCCGTACACGGACCGTGTCTTGTCGCAGCCGGTGGCCAGCCCCGTGGGCCGGTGCTTCAGCAGCACACTGCTGGGCCGCCCGTGGCCCTTGTGCCCCCCGGTGCCGCGCCCCGTCTGCACGTCGCACTGCGCCAGCAGGTCCTCGTCGGACAGCCGCAGGAAGTCGGGCACCTCCGCCACGCCGCGCAGGCTGGGCAGCTGGCACAGGTCGAAGTACGACAGCTTCTTCTCTTCCTCCGTGAAATAGGGCCCCTTGAACCTGGGCAGCACAAACTCCCCTGCCTTGATCTGCTTCTTCCTCTTTTTCCGCTCCTTCGGCGTAAGCTTGGGGGGCCGAGCGAGCCCCGCTGCTGCGTTGGGGGTCCCCTTTGCCCTGCCCTGCTGTGTGTGGATGGCAGCGTCCGTGTCGTCCTCCGCTTTGTCCACCACCCATTCGCCCATGTCCTCAAAGTCCCTCCACGAAGTGGTGGCCGACTCCGCGTTCCGACTCCAAATGCTCGTAGCGTTGTCAGAGTGAGAACTTGAGGTGGTTGCCTCCTCTTCATCCCCATATTCGGAAACGTGGAGAAAGCCGCCGCTGGACGACCTGATCCCCCCGTCTGCGACTGTCTCAGCTCTGCGCCCCCCAGGCGCCGTGGCTCCTCGGCTATCAGCTGGTCGGTCAGGCGGGTGCGATGAGTGATGCAGGGCAGAGGGCCCATCGGCTCGGTGCTTGGCTGGGGAGGCATCTTCGTCAACAGTCCAGATGCCAATGTCCTCAAAATCTCGCCAAGACACTGGCTGGGGTTGTTGCGGCGTGTCGCTCCGCACCCGGTCTGCTCCCTCCGCAGAGGCTGCAGAGCTGGATGAGAAGAAGCTCCTGTTAATACTCAACAGCAGCTTACTTGACGAGTACCAACCAGATCGCTGCGCCCATAAAGGAACACCGCTACTGGGTGGCAACTGGCTGCCGGAAAAGACTAGGTTGTCGTATATGCCTGTGTTGGAAAAACCTGCACCCTCCTCCAGATACACGTCCCTCTCACATGGCTGCGTGCTCTTCTTGGAAGAATCGAGACAACATGCAAGCTTGGAGGGAATAGAAGTTGCTGCGCTGATCAACTGCAGCACCGAAGGCAGATCTTGAGTTCTTCGAAGCACCACTCCTGCTGATCTTGCAAAGATCACCATTTCTATCGACAGTCTACACTTGACATATAAGATTGGCGGGTCTTCTGGAAGAAGCTGGTGCTTGTTGAAGGATTGATTCCACCTTTAGTGGATCCTCCGCTGCAAAGCCTGGGCAACACTAAACTACCTATATTGGAACTTTCTGCCGTACCAACCTATCAAGAGCGACTAGGGTGGCAGGCAGATTGTCCTGCAACACTGACAAGCATCATGTGCTGCGTCCCCAGCTCGGCTCCTGCATGCTGCTGGCAATGGCTGCATTTACCGTCCTCAGCCAGCTGCGGGACCTTGGACCGCCCCACAGAAGACCCCCTTAACCCAGCGGATCGCTCCCTTAACCCCGAGTTGACCCCGGCCACCCCGCGTCCCAGCCAAAACTAAATCTTGCCAACTAGAATCGGGCTTACACGACAGACTACGGTATTCGTAACCCGACATGCAGCCTGATTGCAACAGGCCGTCCCCTACAGAGTTACCCGTGACCTTGATCGAAGCGAGAACCCGGTTTTCGGGACACCTTTTGTAGTTCGAGCCGCTAAAACTGCAAACCAGCGAGCGAACCGCGCGGCGCCTCGGGAGCCTAGCTAAACCTGCGCTCGCGGCCGCGAGTCGCCGCGCAGACGTTAAAATATGTCGCAGACACAAATAGGGCTTCGAAGTTTATAGTCCTAGTTGCGTTTAACCATGTTAATGGACGTCACAGCAATGAAGAATTGACTACGCCTGGAGACCTGAAGTCCGTCAGATGGAGCTCGACGTGCAGAGACTCTAGCGCTCGATGATCATGATCCCCTGTGTACCTCGCCGGCTGCTTCAGTTCAAAGCTGTTCAACAACGTCAATGGCGCAAATGCTAAATGGGGGCTAAGAGCTAAAGTAGATAGAATCTAGTATCTAAATAGGTAGACCCAATCTATCGAGAATCGGGAAGCTTGCCCCGAACTGCGGTAACGTGCCACATGAAGTATGGAGGAAGTATGGCCTATAGAATTGTACACTAGCTGCTCGATCATTTACGCGTAAGGACTAACCGCCTTCAGGGCGGCAATTGAAAAATAGTCGGGTGACTTGATGACTTCTAAACGTCCCATGTAAGCGCAAATGATTGCTGTGGCGAGCGGAACTTCTAGAAGTGTGTTTCGATGTGCCAATTCCAAGGGCGATTTTGGCAATCAGCGCCAGGGGCCACAAGCCGAGGCTCAGGTCGAGACAGATGCTCGGCTTGCTCTTGCCAATCTCTTATCCATTCTGATTTCTTGCAGCCAGGTGAGAGCATACTGAAGCGTTTCTGAGGCCAGTTCGTGAACGGTTGGCAACAAACAAGGGGGGCCGCTACTGGAGTTCCATTCCCTTGCCCTTGAATAAGCTCTCGTAGTCTATCACATCCGCAACTATTGGGCGTCCCTTTCCATCGACCAGCTGCCGCAAACTGTCTACGAATGGTGCATGGGCAGCAGCAGTACTGAGCGGGCCTTCATTGGTGATGTGGCGGCTCGGAACGCCCGGCCCGACCTGGTCGCCCATCCCTCCGCTCGGGGAAAAGAGGTCGCGTCTAGTTTGCTCCTTCTGGACCGCCCGCTCATGAATATGATTCTCTTGAGAGCGGCAACAGATGAGGCGGAGGATGTACACGTGGCCCTTCTGACCGGGGCGGACCAGGCGGCCAATGAGCTGCAAAGAAGATGTTTGGAAAGATGAGGACGAGGGCAAGGAGTTGGTTGCACTTTATGTGATAGAACCAAGCCTTACTTGATGTTGGAGGTAAGAGGGACTTCGGAAAGACCAAGCTTGGTTCCGACCCTCTTTAAAGAGAGCTTTTGATTGGGATTCGACTCTCTTGGAAGGTTCTCCGAATCGGTGTGTTTGGAAGCCTTGTTCCGGCGGGTTCAGAACGTCTTGAAGTACTTCGAAAAGGCAGAAGCCAACGGTCCTATGCAGCAGCACCCGACTTCTATGGTCATCCAGCCACGTAATGAAAGAAGGCTCTGGCTGCTAACAAACCTCATGCTTTGATCATTTGAAAATTCAAAGACCGGGCCTGCAGCTTCTCACAGGTCTGTTTACCGCCCGAGTGTGTTCTTTGGTCTAGAATTCAGCTTCGAACAATGCGGATATGATGAGCCCGAAATCGACCATGCGCGTCTACCAACTACTCCCTTTGGTGTATCTACGGTTTCTTCTAAGCAGTCTCCGCGCGCACCTGCTCATTCACCGTGGGGTTCCACACAGGCTGCAGCAGCACAGCGTGGGTTCCCCCCGAAAGGTCGACTCCCTCACCGCACGTCTCCACAGTGGCTAGCAGCACTACTGCCCGGCTCCGAGGGTCGTTGAACCACTCCCGCCTGGCCAAAGAAGACAAGTTCAGGAAAAATAGACACTCGTGACTTTTTCACCGAGTGACGATGACTTTGCTTCAATCGAGTCTGTATAAGAAGTAGTGCTCGAATCGCAATCTCCTTAAGGTATTCAGGAGACAAGATGTAGGTTCTGCAGAGCAGAGGATTCGAAGGGAGACGGCGCTCTTTGCAAGGTCGAAGAGGGAGCGAAGTGGATACGAAAACGGTTCTGTGGTTCTCCAAGTCGACTGATGCCAGCGTGTTACGAAATCATACCCGCTGAGCGATCAGAGCGTGGCACAACCTCGATTTGACGGGCAGCTCTGCGCAGGGAGTTGTCTCTGACACACTGATATTTCCGAACCTTTTGAAAAGAATAGACTTCGTAAGTCTTTCGTCTTCGAATGGTAGAGAGTGAACGAGTCAGAGCACGTCTGCCCCACCTTTCCCTCCGCACGCTCTGGCTGACTGCCCCGTCGATGTGCACGATCTCCTGCCCCATCTCCCAGTCAGGAAAGTGCGCCAGCAGCCCCCGGGCGATCACCCTAAGCGGCTCTACGTTCACACCAAAGACCACGACGCGCCCGGTGGCTCTCACCCGGGCGACAAGCCAGCTGAGGACCAGCGTCTTGCAGCTGCGAGAGATGCTGACGTCATCCGAGTATGCGGGGAGGGAGCTGCAAGGAAGATGAGTCAGAATGGTTAGGGGGGGTTGATAGCACGTCCGCGGCTAACTTTATTTAAATTTCAGAGTCGCAATTGACGAAAAGTGTTTCTCGAACATATGGGCCTGGCTGTGATGTTCTCTCTACACGCGATGCAACAAGGGTTACTTCGTCGAGGTAACCCTTTTGTAACTCAACAGAAAATAATCCTCTTTTAATAGGCGTAACTGTCAGCCAAAACGTAGAAGTATAAGCACTCTACTTCTGGAACTGACTGGTGCTATCCTTGCAACATCACACATGGAGTAGATCCGTAAAGAGCTTCAAACGAAGACTAAAAATGCAACAAAATTCGGGGAAGCCGCCTCGAGCTTTGAAGCAGAGTTATCTAGTAGTAACATTCACATGCTAGAGACGGAGGAAGAGAAGGCTTGACGGCTCACGGCTCTTCTGAGCAGAGATCCTCGTACTTGAATGGCGGAAGTGCAGCGGGGTGCACGCATGCCACACTAAGAAGATGCTCCATGCTGAATAGATTGCCACCCGTTGCCGCCTCCGCCCCGCTGCCGTCGTCCATTCTGCCCACTTCAGCCCCACCGGAACTCCGCTTAGCCTGGCCCGCTCCAACCGCCTTGTAGTACCCCGCCTGCTCTGACGTCATGTTCAGAGTGACGACCATGTCCGTGTGTGTGAGCGCGCCCCCGCTGGGCGCGGCCGCGCGCTTTGCGCTCGAATGAACGACTTGCGCCAAGATGGCGTTGAGTGCTCTTCTCTCCCGTTTTGCGACCTCTAGGAACGCGCGCCGGGCTTGTACTTCCGTTAATGCGCCGCCAGCGGAACGCAGCTCGTGGGCGCCCCAGCGGAGCATGGTGTCCGGCTGTGCAAAGTAGAGCAACGTCCAGAGCTCCTCGAATGAATTGTTGAACGGCGTACCTGCGGATCAGCAACGACCTTATTGTGCCTGCAGTCTTATGACCTTTTTAAGTCCAAAATGGACGCCTTAGTGGGATCCTTCGCAGTGTTTCCTGCGGACAAAAGATCAACGGTTTTCTGGAAATAGTTGATCAGAGCATGTCAAGCGCTTCTCTGCAGAGCTTCTTCAGACCCGTCCGTGCTGACTTTCTTCCTGAAGTTCCCGCGGACAATTCGATCATCTTGAGCAACGGCCATCCTTGAACTCGTCCAGTCTGTAAGAAAGGCGCTGAGATTCTCGAAGTTCTAAACAAGTGTGTAACATCGCAACTTGCACGCAGAAAAGGGCCCGATAATCCATTAGGAACGGAAGGGGAAATCAGCAACAGCGGTTCACATGCTACATTAGAATTGCATCAGGATCAACAGCTCGAAGCTGATCCCTTTCCGCTAAAAAAGCCCATTGCAATGGCCAAAAATCTTATAATGACAAAAAAATCACGGATGTTCCACCGGTGAGTAGCACCCGCCGAGGCGTTCTTAGATACTGTATGTACTGGTGTAGCCGCGTCTTATCGTTCCTCAGGTTGTGCGCCTCGTCAAAGAAGACGACATCTGGCGCCTCCAGAAGCAGTCGCGTCACCTCGGGCGCGGTCGCGGCCGCGGCCGTCAGGAGAACCCGCATCCTCTCGTTGCTGAGCAGAAGCATCCCGTCCCCCTTCTCCGCCCATTCCCGCAAGTCCCTCAGACAGCGGGCGAAGTTTGTTCCCGCTTCCTGTTCGGTGACGTCACCTGTCCGAAGCCCTTGTGCAGGGCCCACGTGGTACGTGTTCATCAACACCGGCCGCTGGTGCTCCCACACCTCGAGCACGGACGCCGGGGCGAGTGTCAAGCAGCGGAGACCGGGGTAGAGGCGTCGCAGCCACCAAAATAACGCCCATCCCTGTCGAGCAAGACCACACGTTGGATCAACCTTTTGACCAGCTTTGCGACGTTTTGGCAGATACCTGGAAACGTGCGATTGAATATCCGACTTCAAAAATATATATATTGAAGATCCCGGTTGCATCGCCGCGGTTACTCAAAGCTTCCTCTGAGGAGCGCTTTCTGTACTCTTGTTTACTAGAATCAGGTGACTGTGTAGGTCACTTTGCGACCACTGCCACATGTTATGCGTTTGGCACAGGGGACGAAAGTCTTACAAAGAAAGCGTTGTTTCTCTTTCCAGCCGCATACGCAAGTATGATAGCTTACAAGCAAAACGTCGATAGCTTACCAGCAATGTTTTTCCACACCCCGGAGCGTGCGCCAGAATGCAGCCCTTGCCCGCGCCCTCAAACGCCGCCCTGCAACTCGAACCCCCTCCGATTTCTGCGGGGCCTGATTCGGAGGCGCCACCCAATGTATCCGCTTGCCCGCTCAGCCCATCAGCCGAACCCGTCAGATTCATAATCGTAAACTCGAACCCTTCTATTTGCGACTTCATAGCTTTCTTTCTTTCTTCAAGAACTGCCCAGAATGCCGCGGCCGAGGCGCTTCCGTGTTCCGCCACGAGCTCCTCCGGTGTCCTCCGTTCTGCCGCCCTCACCGCCGCAGAATGCGATCGCGGACTCTCCGGAATGTCCTCCAAAGTTATGCGCTTCTTGTTTCCTTTTCTCGCTTCGTCCTCCCAACCGGCAAAAGCAGGCTCCTTTTGCGCCCAGAGCCGCTCTAACATCCGGCCCATGCACCGGTCCTGCCAGTCTGATCGGTCGTCTTGAGGAGCCCTTCCCGGGCCGGCCGAAAAATGTTCAACCGCTGCTTGCCCCAGGAAGTCCCCGGTCACACGGTAGAACCGGCCGTACTCGCGATCAAAAGACAGGCACGCTTCGGTGTGAACGTGCCCGCTCGGCTCTCTGTCCTCTGTTATTCTCTTCCCTTAAAATCAATTCCGCTCTAACAAAGTGTCTGCAACATCCCAGGCTTTTGCCAGAACCAAAATTTCCGTCCCCCCTTCGGGCTGCGCCGTTTCTGGTTCCGTTTCCGTCTCCATCCCCGTTCCGCTGCCCTCCTCTTGCCGTCTTTCGGCTAAAAATTCTTCAAAAAGCAGGCAGTCCCCGAACTCCACTCCTTGCTCGCCCACGGATACAGCTCCCGGTTCCGAGTCTCCGGCGCTCGGAAACGCGTGGTGCACGCGTGGCACGCCCGCGCGCGCGGCCAGATTCCCCTCGCCCATCGCGCCAATTTCTTCGTGTCTATTTTCTCTCCCACGGCCCCTGACGTTGGGGCCGCTCGTGCGATATGACCGCCCATGATCGTCGCTCCTTGAATCTTCAGCAGAGTCCGTCTCCGCCTGAGTCTTGCGCTCTGCAGCAGCTTTCTGCCGTTCTGCTCTCCGGTGCCTCGCGGAGTTCTCCTCCGCCTCGAACAGCCCAATCACATCCATGACGTCAAGCTCCAAGAGGGGATCTTCTCCTTCGTATACATATTCTTGCCCGTTTGCTGATTCCTTGTTGCAGGGCGCACGCGAAGTTCCGCTTCCGCTGACTCCGCCCTTGTTCCTCCCCGCATGGGACGCGCGTCTCCGTTCTCCTGCAACTGGGTCCCCCTGCGAGCGCTGCTCTCCTCCTCCTTCTTCCATCTCCTCCGATCCCACCCGCACCGGTCTTTTCCGTTTGGTTCCGCTCGATCCGGCAGTATCAGGTTCCGTGACCGTCCTTCCCCGCTGTCGCCTCTTCCTCTCCGGTCGCCTGGTCTGGTTGTAGCAGTTGTAGCAGAGCGTCCGGGAGCCCTTCTCCCCGGTGTACCAGCTGATGCACTTCTCCCGACCGCAGCGGCAGCACGGGCCGCCCACGGTGACCTCATGGCACGGGCAGCAAAGCGACCGGGGACCGTGCTCCGGGCTCGAGTACCAGCGGCAGCAGGCGACCGCCCCGCACCGCCAGCACGGCCCCCCTGTCGCCCTCCTTTCCTGCCGGGCGACCCTGCTGTCCAAGAGCTTTTGTTCGAAAACGATCAAGCGGTCCTCAATCTTCGCCAGAGCCAGCTCCAACTCCTTCATACTCGGGTCGAAAAGCTTGGAAGGGTCTCCGCTGACGGCAGCGCTGGTCCGCTGAGATCCCCATCTCTTCGTGGAAGAAGTCTGACATATCACACACCGGAAGCATTTAAGCCGGAAAAGTTGTAGGGAGACATTTTGGGGCCTTCAATGCTCATTCTTTGGCCTTTTGTGAGACGGAGAGTTGACCGATTCAGAAAATCAATGCCTATCTGACCTTCTTGGTTGCCTGAGGCGCTTCATGGAGCAGCTAAGCATGATTTTTTCACTTACGAAAGATTCCTGAGATTGTAGCAAAAGAGTAAGGGTGGATTGGAACGGGAACTCTGCTCTTTTCATAGCCCTTATATTGGCCACCGACATTAAAGTCATTACTGTCAACAAAGAGAACGCCATGCAGATTAAGATATCTGGGTTAAACCCCTTGCAAATGCCTTGAGCCCAATATCCTGATTATCGTAGCGACGTGCTTACACGAAAGCCTTGCAACCATTCGGGGCGCAAATAACTAGGATCTGCATCTTGCGAGAAGACAGGTGATATTTAGATTCTGTTCGAGGGCAATGTAAGCGACTACTTGAAAGTGACTGGCAATTTTTGAAAGTTTTCCATCTCACTGATTTTAGCCAGGAAGAGATACATTGATCAAGCTGGGCCTTGGTGTCACAACAATGACGTTGACCTGTGCACCATAAGGTGATTTAAATGCTTACGCTGTTGGGAGAAACCCAGAGTAGCGATCGAAGACTGCCCAGATGCTTTCAGACTCGGAAATTGCTTACTGTTGATCAATAGGACCTGTAAGTGCCCTATATGAAGATTTCAATTTCAAAGGCACTTCAACGATTAATCACCCGACATAGGGTATTGAAAATACCTTCGAGCTTGTGTTGCTTTCCGAGGCACTTTGATTTCAATCCCTGCACCAGACTTTTGATCCCTGTATGCATGGTTCCTCAAATTTTCAAGGATAGTCCACACAGCTTCTGAAGACCGAAAAGCTGAAGAAAAACCCTCCTGAACACCCTCAGAATCAAGCAAGGGACGTTGCTTTCCGGCATTCAAACGTTACGATAGAAGTGGACCATCCAATGCAAGCAAAAAGGTTCTTTTGCAGAACTTGTCTCCCTGCAGTACTCCTCTCACCTTTCTTTCGTTTCCAGGTTAGCAGCTCAATGCAGGCTCAATGATTACTTCTTTTGGAAGAACCAGGTTGATGACTTGAAGGCTTGTCCCAGGACGAGGACGCCAGCCAATTCCTTCCTTCAGCCACAGCCCATACTTCGGAAGCTGCTCCTGCAAAGCGCCTCTGTTTTCTGCCTGCAGGCTCAAAGGATGGAAATGAACACTCCGATTGCAGTTCCCAGCTACACTTGTTATAAGGCAGCCATCTCACATGCACTGCAATGCGTGTCAGGCTTGTTTGTCCGTTCAAACTGACATTGGCCGTTCGCCGCAGCGTCTTTCTTTGACTTCTGATTTTTTAAGACTACGGGGTCTGCTACAATCCAACCAGACTCATCGACCATTTCCCAGGTCTTCGAGTAGCCAGAAATACGGTGTCAAAACAATGAAACAGCACCTCCGCAGATTGCGGTCCCCGGGATTGACACTACAAAGCAGGCTCGACAACTACGGGCGCAGCTACAGTCAGACCTCAGCAGAGTTCCTTCCACTCTGCGCCATCGTGAGACGGGGTCTGTTGGATGTCCATTGGATGTCAGTGCAGATTTGAAGTTGGATCTCCATTTTGGACCGTTGGGCTGCACTTAGGTTGGACGTTCCGGATGATCCACAAGCTGCGTGGGCGGGTTGTAGATGGCGAGACCTGGATTCAGGCTTCCGAGCGTTTGACGTTTGGACCTTCGTTTTGAACCTCGACGCCTTGGTTAGCCAGAATTGCCGGACACTCTACCTGACCTTTTGAGGGACTTGGTATTTCTAAAACACCGGGAGTGGGCTCTTGAGCGGCTTAAAAATCAGAGGATTGGTGAGGTTATAGTGCTTTTCGTTAAACCATTTGACCTGTTGGCGCGTGTAATTTGCGGGTTTGAACATTTTCAGGTATTTCAGGACCGCGCGCATGGGACTGGATGGGCCATGTGGCTCCATCTGCGCCTCTCGAAACGAAGGACAATTGTGTGTAGCAACGATCTTGACGTACAATGTTTACGACTTTTGCAGCCACTAAGGCATGCATGAAGGTGGACAGGCCTGGCAGTACGTATTCCTCGTGAACGCGCGCGTTTGTTAACAAGATTCGACAGAGCTTTGAGCTTGGTTGCCCATCGGTGTGTTTCTTCACTTTGTGGACGCAAGAGAACGCTGCATGGGCTCTCCTAGGCGCCTCAGCGAGGGCTCCGTTATGGAGCTACGCATCACAAAATATCCGCATGAGGAGAACAACGCTAGGTCACGTTGCATGGAAGCGGCGCCAATAACGCCAAGATTGCACGTTGCCATTTCGACGCGAGATTTCCAAAAATGACATGGGCAAGAATGGTTTGTAACTTGCGCGCACCGTCACTTCTGGCGGGCGCTTTCACTTCGAAGCATGTCAGCAATATGGTATGCTGCACACAAAGTCAGTGAGAATCTGCTTAGGTTGCACTCTACCCGGCCCATATGAGCCTAACCTCAGTCAAAGCCTTGGGCAAGACTTGCTTGGTTCTGGTTATGACAAATGCATTTGGTTAGTTGGCATTTGATCCAGGTAGTCTTAAGGTAGCCATTATGCAGGGTTTTTTATGCACCGCATGTTTTCAGACATGCAGTTTCGACACTTCGTCCTTTTCCCGCTAAATCTAGAGAAGCGAGCGCTCATTAGTATGGTATCCAGCTTACATTTACAAGGTGAATCACTCTGGCAAGTTCCGCCCTTCAACACTTTGGGTGACCTGTTTAGCAATAAAGCCATGATGGAGTTTGTGGTGCGCAAAGGCAGTCGAGCAATGGCAGCTCTACTGGAGAGCGACTAGGCCATGCTAATGTCATCTACAGTCACTTCCACATTCCCCTCTTGTGCGCGTTGTCGCACTCATTTCGGCGTCTGCAATATGTCCCTAGCTACTCTTTTCCCACTCTTATCAGCTTGATCTGCCTTGAGGATTGCCGCAGCCTTCTTCATGTATGGAGGAAGGCGGCCTGCCTGTCCCGCAGCATGTCAATCTGGCTCCGGTACCACGCCGTCTCCCAGCTCGCCTTCCCGCCCGCGTCGGCAGCGACACCTGACCGGCCTCTGCTCTGCAAAACGTACACGCACAGGTGAGTCAGGAGTGCAGACAAAGCGCTCTCCAGGAAAGCTCTAGGCGACCCCAAGGAAACTCTCGGCCCTCATATTGCTCGGCGCTCATTGTCGGCTCTCATGGTCGACTCGATTCATTGTTTGTCTTATTACTTTTTGGGCTTTTCGGCAAGCAAATGGCCAGCAAGTGCACACGACAACTTGCCCGGACCTCGATTGGCTGAGTTTCTATCCTGGCCGCATCGCGAGGGACGTGCGTACCGTGCTGACGCAGTGGGACTCACCTGCTTTTCCGCGGGCCAGTGGGCGTTTCCCGCTGGTCGGCCCCCTGCGACGGCTGTCTCCGCCGCGACGCCGGCCAGCAGCTGCCGGTGCTGCTGCAGCTTCTGCACACGCACACGCCATCTCGAGTGAGGCCTCCCCGGCCAGTCCGGCGCTTAACAGGACGCTCAGGGTTTCGAGTTGCAATTTTATTCTTTTGTTGCACGAGTAGGAAGCCCAGGCGTTAAGAAGCAAGTAGGACTCAGCGCCTTATTGGTCCGGAGGTTTTGTAAACTGCTTCCCAGCTCCTACCTCGAGAACGAGTCTCGCCAAAGTAGCGGTCGGTTCCTCGTTGGCATTAGCTGCTTCCCGCCTACCTTCTTCAACGCGGCCACTTTGGCCGCTTCCCGGTCGGCGGCAGCGCTTGCTGCCCGCTGCGCCTCCTCGCGGCCGCTCCTGTGTCCCCTCTCGTACTGGATGAGCTGCACGGCGGAACACAGCTAGGCGGAGTGGGTCACCAGGGGCCCAAAGCGGGCGGCGCCGGAGCTCGAGCAAGGCCTCACCCTCGTCGTCCAGGGTCGTAGCACTCCATACACAAAACCTTGCTTTGTGCTTTGGCCGGGACGCATGATGACAGGACGCAGCTGTTCAAGCATGAATTGATCTCCTGCCTAGACTGGACTGCGTCCACAAGCGTACTCAAGAAGGGCAGCGCTTCTTCTACCCGCACTTTGCAGAAGAGGCCACAGCGGGCCGCGGGCCTACCTTCTCCGCCTCGAGCTGTGCCTGCAGCTCTTCCCTTTCCGTTGCCGCCACCGCCGCCAGTTCCGCCAGCTGTCGCTCCGTGCGCTCCAGCCTCTGCTGCAGCCGGTCGCACTCCTGCCTGCACCGCGCACGCGGCCCGCTTAGCGTCACGACAAGTAGCAGCAGGCCGCCCTGCCGGGCTGCCGACACAACATCCTCCGAGGCTCAAACCTGGTGGCAGCCAATCGGCATCTTCAAAGGGAACCTGACGACTCCTACCTGTCGAATAACATTCGGCATAAGAAGCAAGATCGCTGTTGCTCGACATCATATTGAGAGTGCCGCGTGCCTCGAAGTTCACTGGCAAAGCCATCCTTTACCGTAGGGCAAAAGGACAGTCCCTAGCGCTCCATCCGTGCAACGGACTGCCTGCTTGTTTACAGTGGTGCCATGCAAACGCTCGGCTCACTTCGTTTCACGGAGCGCCTGCTCTGTTTCCCGCTGCCGCTCCCTTGCCGCCTCGCTCTCCCCCTCTGCCGTCGCCGCGTCCTGCCTGGCCGCGGCCGCCTCGCTGTCCGCCTGCTCCTTGTCGTGCCGTGCTTGGGCCGCCGCGCCGCGCAGCGCCGCCCGCTCCAGTTCCCCCTCCTGCACCTGCCGCCGCGCCCCCTCCAGCTCGCGCTGCGCGGCCTCCCGCTGGTCCGCGTGGCGCGCTTCCGCTATGCGTGCAGCCTCCTCCAGGGCCGTCACTGCGGCGCGCAGGTCGGCGGCCTCCCCCTCCAGGCTGCGCCGCAAAGCGCGTTGTCGCTCCTCTTCGTCCTGCACCTGCACGCCACGCCCCACGCTCACCACAGGGAAAGCTACAATCTCGCTTCGCCCTCATTGCACTTGGTCGTTGGAAGCTAGAAACACCCGGACAAGAATTGGAAGGGGCACTTCTACTGGAAACCGTTTCGACCTTGGCTGAAATCCCACCCTCCGCTTTTTGGTAGCCAAGACAGTCCCTCGAGTCGAGAAGCACCCGCCATGTTGATATTGCTCCGGTTTTGTCAACGCCAACAAGAGATTCAACTGGTCAATGCGCATTGGCTACATGTTTTGAACTCTAGTATTGCCCCAAGTCCAACCACAGTGTAATGCCTGGTTCCCGGACAGACTGCCACCACTGCCAACAGCCTCATATCTTCAGCACAAGTACTCGCGGCGCGAGGCAATAAGCCTCCGATGAGTGGCTGTCGGCGGCCGACCTTGCGCGCGCAGTCCTGGGAGAGGGTGGCCGTTTGCTCGCGGTGCGCTTCCTCCAGCCCCGCGATGAGCGCCTCTTTCTCCTCCAGCGCCGCCTGCTGCTCCCGCTGCTGCTCCTCCCCCTCCTGCATCGCTGCCTCCAGCCGCGCCTCTAAGTCGAACACCGCGGACCTGAGACGGAGGCACGGGGCAGGGTTCCTATTATTGTCCACCCGGCTCTCACGTAGGACGTCTGGCTGACAGGCAGCTCCAACGAGACAGCGATGCTCTTCACAAGGGCCTGGGCACTGGAAATGCGCTCCACCATGTGTGTTCGCTCCAGGCTTTTGCCGCAGCGGAGGGGCGGGGGCAGCGCTCACTCAAGAGTGTGGATGGTCCTCTCGGCCCCCGCGGAGGCGCGCTGGTGCTCCTGCTCCAGCTGCCCCACGCGCTGGCGCGCTGCCTCCCGCTCCGCCCCCGCCTGCTGGGCCTCGCTCTCCAGGTGCTGGCAGCGCCGCCGCGCGGCCTCCAGCTGTCGCCGCTGCTGCGCCGCCTCCGCCCGCAGTGTGTGCGCCTGCCGCTCCGCTTCAATGCTGGCCCGCTCCTTGTCCACCACCGCTCGTTCCTTGTCGCTGCGCACCTGCTCCACCTCGCGCAGCAGCGCTCCCCGCTCCGCCCGGCCCGCCTCCACCTGCCGCTCCAACGCAGCGCACCGCTCAGCGCCGCCCTGGTGCACGGCTGCAGCAGCAGAGACACAGCACAGGTGAGAGACGTGGCGATTGAAGTGTTGCCCCGAGATCGATGCCCGAAGCGCACAAAGCTTTGAGCCTTGCTGACAGGCAGGGTGTGAGATAGGCCTGCTTGAGGGACACGAACCCAAACAAAACGGCCAGTTATGCACGCACATGAGGACCCACAGCCGAAAGCTGCACGACAGGGCCCGAACCTCCTACCTGCTTCGCTTGTGAGCCGCTGCACCTGCGTGTCTTTAGCCCTCTCGCTTGCTTCAAGCTCGTGCACTCTGGCCAGCAGCGCCTGCGTGGCGCGGGCCACCTGTACATAGCAGGCCGGCCCTTGGCTGCTTAACATGGGACTTAAGGTGGTTCTTGCAGGCTTTCTTGCAAGGCCGCTTGAATGACATCACAGGACCTGTTGCCATCAACTGTTTCGAATCACACTGCCAAACACCAGGAGGGTCGCACAAACTGCAAAGGCAAGCGCATGCGTATGCCCAGCACTAGACATCGATATCAGGGTAGTGCTGGCGGAGGCTGCCACTTGCGGGAGTCTGGTCGTACCTGTGCTTCCATGTCCATCTGCAGCCGCTCCGCCTCGCGCCGCGCTTGCACCGCCTGCTGATGGGCCACCTCGGCCTCCTGGTACACAACACAGCAGCATCCGTGTTTCTTGGCAGCAAGTTCTAGATGGTGTCTTACATGACCGGTCAGATGATCATCAGTAAGGTTTGCCAGCGGTGCGCAGCTGCTCCTGCCAGGGATGCATATACAGTGCCAGCCATCTTGCACCTGTTCCAGGCAAGAGCATGCTTCAGGTGCTGGTTGTGCAAGGCGGCATAGCGTGCACGCCTCCTCTCCTTAAAGCCGCACCTGCTCGAGCGCCGTGCAGCGCGCACGATGGGGGCCCTCCAGCTGCTCCACCATGCGCAGGCGCAGCGCCTCCACGTCCCTGCACCCATTCACGAGCTCTCAAAGAGGAGCCACTGCGAGGGGCCACCAGCGGAGGTGCCATCAAGAATGAAGGAATCAAGAACGCCACCACCTTTTATGACGGTGGAGCCAAACAGGGACTGTCAGGACTTATTGGGCAACTTAGCAAGTAAGAAGCTTATCCTGTGGCCAGCGTCCTGCTCACTCTGCTGTCATAACGTGTCTTTGTGCATCCTCTAGCTCCCGCTGCCTGCTTTCCAGTTCGCCGCGCCACCGCTCACACAGCTCCTCATAGCGGCGCTCCTGGTGGCGCTGCACCAGCCCCAACAAATGCGTGAATGGAAGACCAGGGCGCACAGGCTGCTAACCTAGACGGTGGGCCAAGCTGCCCGAGCGATCAAAACTTTGTCTATCGCAAAAGTAGCATTCTCAAGCATTTTTGAAGGAGGTGGCACACAGCGGGAGGGAGGCCTTACCATGTCCTCCTGCGTTGCAGCATGCTGAGCTCCAAGCTGTTCCTTCTCACTCAGGCATGTCGCGTACAAGGCCTTCAACTGCAAACAATCACAGGCTCAGCATTGACTGCATTTTTAGAATGGTACGACGGTGCTAACCTTTCAAGAGAGTGCCGTGACAGCTCGACGTGCTTTAGCTTACGTGTACTGAGATGCCCTGAGGGTGACTCATTGTAGCTCTGAGCTGCTGGTTTGCGCCGCTACTCCTTCCATAATGCTGACATTGGTTGCCATCGTTTTAAGTGCATGCAAGATAGTCACAAGCATTGACCATGAAGGTACCACCACATGTTGAAAGTGGTCGAGGTGGCAAGCAGCCCCAATGCGCATGGCTTTGCAAAGTCGTGCTGTCTGCCACTTTATTCAGCTAGCAGCTCTTCAGGTTTCTGTGAAGGCGAGCTCACGTCTTCAAAGTTCTGCCGCAGAACCGCGTTCTCGTCCCGCAGTGACTTTACGTGCTCAAACGCTCTTCTAAGGGAGCCTTCTTCATCGTCGCTCTGATCAGAGTCGCCCATGGTGATATCGATCTGACAATCTATCCTACCTAATCTCAGCTCAACCCCATACCCTTAATCGAAGAGGAGAATGCAAGGAACGCGAGCACAATATTTGCTGAAACTTCTGCTGAGCGAAAACGTTCTGTCAAAGATTGCAAGGACATTGTCATAAATAGGGGCCTGTTTCGCTGCTCCTAGGACCTAGTTGTTAACTTACCTACTCACGAATGCTACATGGGTGGCTTGCACCAACTTGCACCATCCACCGGTAGTGTCTACCCTTTTCGCGCGCGCAGCCAGAAGCTCTTTGTCCACGTCCGTAGGATCGATAAAGTGGAAACAAATCGACCGTCCATTTACCATGAGCATCATCGTCATCATGTACTTCTTCGGTGCGCAGAACCCTGCATCTGCACATGTGTGAACCCTAATGCGCTGATGGACAATGGTGTCCGGTCGAAATCAAGAGAAGACGATGGGCCATGGCGTCCTTTCAGCTCTGTATTGCTTTGCACTGTTGACAGGAAAGGCAACAGAGTCAGCTCTTCGGCTGAAGCTCTTCAGCTCTAGTTTGGCATTACTCTCAACATACAATGACCCGCTGGACTAGCTGGTCAATGTTTTGTCCCGGGCCCTATTTCGCTTGACCAGGGGACGTAGCCCAGGAGATAGAGCCATGCGAAGAAGGAGCAAACGCAGCTGAAAGCTGGATAAGATGGCAGCCGCACCAGCCGAATCGGAGTTGGACCCCGCAGGTCCCCATGCGGCGGCTCACATTGCTGTGGTTGTTCGAGTACGGCCACCTGTGGGGCCAGCAGAGAGGGATGAGAAGCTGGCCGTCACCTGTACAGACGGTCGCATCCAGGTGAGGCTGCTGCCTGCATGTATGTTGCATGCTTCGCTCGCCCTGCCATCTTCGAGCCTCAGGTGATCCGCAGCCGCATTGGCCAGCTAGATTGCGGTCCTGAGCTGTGACGGTGGCGGTGTGGCAGGTGTGCTGGCAGCGCGAGCGCCTCAAGGACCCTTTGTACCAGGACGCCACCACCGCGCTCACCCGTCCCACAACCACAGCAAAGCATTTTGACTTTGGGGCCTGCCTGGACGGTGATGCAGGCCAGGTGAGAGCTGCCAGACTGTCAAGGCATGTTACTGTGGACGGCCCCACCATGCTTGGGCACACGGCATGGGCTGCTTCTGTTTCATCAACTGCAGTATGACCAGACCCTTCTCCTCCTCCCTAAAGTCTCTGACTTCGTTGGGCACCTCCTCAAAATTGCAGGCGGCAGTCTATGCGGCGTGCCAGATGTCAGCGCTGGTCAAGGAGGCGCTTGCCGGATACGCCGTCACCACATTCGCCTTTGGCCAGGTGACTTCACACCAGAGTGCCCTCCGAACACTATAATACGGTTGGCTGACTGCCAACCTATGACTTCTAGGTTGCAGCTCCGCAAACCTGCCCACATCCGCTCCTCAATGCTAGATCCTCGCGCTTTCCCGTTTGTAGGCGGCCGAGAATGTCAGGGTGCTTTGTTCGGCTGCCACCACGTCAGTGCAGTCCCGCTGATCCTGGAACCCCCCTTGCTACCCTCCTCACTCCCTGCTTGCCCCTCAGACTGGCGCGGGCAAGACGCACTCCCTGCTCGGCACTTCCCGCACCATGCCAGAAGGGGGCAGCTGGCCTGCCGGCACCCCTGAGCCTGGCGCCACCTCTGGGGCTGCCGTCTCCGGCTCTGAGGACGGCCTGCTCCCCCGCGCTCTCCATGAGGCGTATGCGCAGATGAAGTCAGGGCAGGCGGAGGGAGGCGTGCAGTATAACCCCTCCATGTCCATCATGGAGATCTACAATGAGAAGGTAGGCCTGGCTACACCCAGCGCAACCTCAGCCATTGCACTTTCTTTGAAAAAGAGTAGATGAGCACATGAATCTTGCCAGGTCGCCACAAGATCTGTTGCACTTTCTTGCACATGCCATCTCCTAAGCGCACCCCGGCGGTTGCCCCCCCAGGTGGTGGACCTGCTGGCCAGCGCCAAGAGCGAGCCCCTGCCGGTGCGCCACTCCTCCAGCCGCGGCTTCTACGCTGACGGCCTCCTGCTGCTGCCCTGCCCCACCATCCAGGACGCCGTCAAGGCACTGCGCCGAGGTGAGGACTCGCTTGAGTAGAAAAAGGTTCTGCCCCTATGCAGACGGGTTGTGGGCCTGACTTGCGAAACGTTCATACCGTGTCATGTTTCTTTTTTACGTGCTTTGAACAAGTACTATCCCGCTTTACCCGGCAGGCCTGGCGCGGCGCAGTGTGCGAGCCCAGCAGATGAACGCGTGCTCCAGCCGGAGCCACTGTCTCGTCACCCTCCACATCCCCACAAGCGCACCCCCAGGACAGCTCAACGGATCCGCCCCTGGCCCTAGAAGGTAAGTTCTCCTGCCAGCTGCCACTGACTCCTCGTCGGGTTCCATTGACTACTTGTATCAGAGGTCTGCCACAAGTTTGGAGCTTGTTTCCTCGTTCCGGCTGCTGACACTTGCTGCGGCCCCCGGCCCAGGCAGGGGCGGCTGTGCTTCGTGGACCTGGCTGGCAGCGAGCGCCTCAAGTACAGCGGCAGTGCCGGCCCGTCGCTGCAGGAGACGGGGAACATCAACCGCAGCCTCTTCACGCTCGGCAAGGTACGCCAGTCCCTAATGACCAAGCGCTTACGTCAGCCCCTACTAACATTGATGGCTGAGGGGTTGCCTCCGATGCTTTCCTCAGAGTTTTCTTCGTTGGCTGTCGGCTGTGGCTCACGTGCTGGTTGGCGTGTCGTTCTTGCAGGTCTTGGCGGCACTGAGCAGCAAGGGTCGCGACGGCCAGCCGCACCGCCGCAGCAGCTTCTCGGGCTTTGTGCCTTACCGCGACAGCAAGCTCACACAGGTGCGCCGCGCCGCCCACCCATGCTTACTATAAGTGGTGACAGTCATTGACGACAAAGCTTTAGCTTCTCGTCCCTTCTCAAAAGACTCCCACGGATTGTGCTGCTGCCTTTCGACGCTTCTTTCCTTCGGCCTTGGCCCTGACGCTACGTTTTCCTCCTAGCAGCTTCTTGGGGACGGCCTGAGTGGCCGCGGTCGCACCTTGATGCTGGCGTGCTGCTCTCCGACCGCCGCCAGTGCCGAGGAGACGCTGCAGACGCTGCAGTACGCCAGGTGAGCCAGGCACCAGCCTTCGGTGGGGCGACACGGTCCAGAAAACTCTCGCGCTCAGCAGAGGTCGTCATCAGTTGAGGCCGACAGCAGATTCCATAAGATAGGAGCGCAAGCGCTGGTACTGGGCGGCTGACGGTGCTCTTTGCGGTGTGCAGCATGGCGCTGCACGTGCGCGCGGCCCCCGTGGTGGTGCTGGACCCAGCGGACCAGATGCTGGCCGACCTGCGCTCCACCATCCGCAGCCTCAAGCAGGTCAGCGCGCGCTGCACCAGTGGGCGGCTTATGACGCAACGCTTGTCCTGCCATTGAATTCACCCTCCTCTACACGCTGCTACCGTTTGTCCAAATTGTTCCCCAAAATGGCCGATGGACTCCACCAATACCTAGCATCAAACTCGTTCGACTTTCCGCATCCTGGCATCTCAACGTTCAAGAAGGGGATTCTGTTTTGACATTGTAGGAAAACGAGCACCTGCACGAGCAGCTGCAGCTGCTCAAGGCGGCGGGCCCTCTTGCAACCCCTCCCGACGGCGATCCGCAAGAGCCGCCCAGCGCTCCGGCTGGAGCGACTGCGGCGAACGTGGCGGAGCGGCGGACGTCCGAGAGGCAGGCCTCCACGTCCGGCACCCCGTCCATGTCCAGCACCCCCGGGGGATCCTCACCGAAGCGGACAGACCAGCCAGGGCTAACCTCTCAGAACGGCAGCAGGCGATACGCCCGAGAGCCCAGCCCGCCTAGCCGCAGCAAGCCGCGGCCTTTGCGGCCGGCTGGCAGAAGCGGGTCCTCACGGAAGGGCGGGGACGGCGGGTGGCTGGAGAGCACGTACGGGCAGCCGGCCCGGCGGCGGCCGCAGCAGGAGCTGCCGCTGGCGCGCTTCCCGCAGCTGGCCGCGCTGGAGAAGGACTTCCAAGAGACGCTCCGCCAGGCGCAGGCGGCAGGGGGGACCGCGGGCGGGCACGGGGATGTCGCGCTCAGCCTGGGCCGGGAGGAGACACAACACAAAGAGAGGCAGGCCAGGGCGGCGCAGGCGGCCCGCCCTGCACCCGGCAGCAGGAGAGATACAAGTCCTGTCAAACACCGGAGAGAGAAACAGGAGGGCGGAAGCAGATTGCGGGGGGCGCGAGGGGGCAATGTGCGGCGGGGTGAGCCCGCAAGACCCGGCGGGCATGCGGAGTCGTCCCCCTCCCCCGAGCCGCTGCCGTTCTTGGCGGACGGCCGGCGGAGCCCGCGGGCGGCCGCGTGGAGTGCCGTGCTGGACGAGGGCGGCGGCGCTGTGCAAGCGGAGCCCAAGGCAGAGGAGTTCGCGGCGCGCAACCCGTGGTTCGGCCGTGACAGCGCCATGACGCTCGCCGCGTACGCCGCGCACGACCACCTCGTCGAGCGCGGGCTAGACCCCGCCTCCGACGACTACTACGCAGGTGCGCATGCGCGGCAGAGCCGGAGATCCAGCTCCATCACGAGTTGAGAGACGACTTACCGAATCCTTTCCCTGCCAGTGCCGCCGCTGTTCCAACTGCTGCGATGCGCTGGCTGGCTCACCGATGGCGGGCCCAGTTGCTGCATCTCTTGCCGGAAATCGTCCTGGGTGCCGTCGTTTTGACAGCACGGAAAGCTTCTAAGCTTGCGCTTGCCCGGTGGTCGGGTGGGGCTACGCATGTTCGCGAAGGAGCGTTTGTCAGCGATCGTACTTTTCTCAGGATGGCTGGAAGGAGAACGCGGACACCCGGCCAGCTTTCAAGAACCCCCTTCTGCTAAAACCTGTCGAATTGGCGCTTCGATTGGTCCTTTCAATGAAGTTAAGTGCCGATCCCCTGGGCTTGTAGTACAAGCAGGGGGCCCGCAAGGATCAGGGCGAAAATTGTCCATGTTCTCCATCCATCCCTTCTCTCAGCTCCTGTCGTGTCGTGGTGAGGTGCAGGGATCGAGCAGGCGGTCCGGCAGCAGTTCCCCGGCTACTTCGCGTTCGACGAGCGAGGCGCCGCCGCGGCCAATGGCCCGCACACGCGTCACCGGTGAGCGGTACCTGGCGCGCTAGCAGGGCCTTGATGCCGCCCATCCCCTTTTGAACTCGACGAGGCAGCTTTCAAATCTAAAGCTTGGTACTCTCGCGCCCCCTGGCTTCGGAATCAGCGTTTCTAGCAACACTTGTAGATCTGCATCCCACTGGCTCCGCTTCATGGGCGCAACCACCGCTTGCTTGCAGGCCCCGGTCCAAAATGCACAGCGCCTGCCCCACCGTCCGGCACGCAAGCCCCGCCCGTCCCGGAGCCAGCGACGAAGCGGAGCCGGCAGCGCTGCCGCACGAGAAGGGCGACCCCGCGGGGTGGCCGGGCGCGAGCGGGGCGGAGTCGGAGCGAGGGAGCGCCTCGAGCAGCAGCCTGCCCAGCAGCGCGCGGAGCAGCCCAGCGCCGCGCGCGTCTCCCCACCCCCTCGAGTCGCTCGACAACCTGGCCGGTGAGCGAAGGTGGCCGCTATGTGCCAGCTCGGGGTGGACAAAGTGGCCTTTCGATAGGCAGAGAATCCCGGGCGGGCATAGGCGTGATGGTGAACGATGGTGGAAAAACGGCTGGCGGGGAAATTTCCTCGTGGCTGACCGCTTGTAACGTTTTGCTTGTTGGCTGGACTCCTCGCTTTTTGGGGTGGTGCATAAGATCCTCTATCCTGGTACGAGGGCTTCTGGGTCGGCCCTCTGGTTGCACGGCTGACCATGTTTGTCGTCGTGGCGCAGACGTGTTCCGACGGGAACGGCAGGCCATCGTGGAGAGCCTGCAGAAGGCGCAGCACGCGGCGGAGATCGAGAAGGAGACCATCCTGGCGCAGATCCAGGAGGCGCTGCGGCGGCAGACCAAGCCCAAGCAGGGCTGGATATGACAAAGCGTGCACATTCTTGATTCCTCATGTCCTGAACACGGGCGGGCCTGGGTTGGTTGATGCCAACGTGTTGCACCAAGTAACGCGCAGGAGTTCATTTGCATGGACGTCTTGCAACCGACACGTCCTATATGATGATTTACAATATATAGGCATCATGTTCGACTTTGTTTCTGCTGATGCACGCGCTGCATACGTGGAAACAGGCTTGATGCATCAGCTTATGAGGTTATTATATACAAAACGATGGCCGATTCCGGTCCTTGATCAAAATTGCAGATTGGAGGTTGTCCGCGACGTTGGTCACTAGTGCTGATCGATGTGATCACACCGTATTTAGAAAATGCATGGGTTGTATAGGGTTGCCAAATACATATGCCGTGTATTTCGCAGCGCACCCATGGAGGTGCCTCAAAGTGGGCGGTCGGCGCTCCTCAGCGGATCAGTGAGCTTGTACTTGTTCTGCAAGAATTGAGGCTTCAACAAGGCAACATAGGAGGCCGGCCGTTTCAAGTTCCAACTCACATTATCAATTTCCGTGTATATGGCTATATCCAACGCATGCATGCCAGCACTGATGCACCTTGGAGTCTTTGGAAGTATGTTTAGGCCCACCATGACCTTACAGCACACCTAGATTCAGATCTGTGTCATGCGATATAGGCTCGGTACTTCGGAGCGCTCGTGTTTATTGACAAGCGATGAAACTACATGAATACGTTGTATGGTTATGTATGGAATTCATAGTCATGCATTATTAGGGTCGCTGGGTTTCCCAGCTTTGTGAAAATGGCAAGGATAGTTTATGAAACAATGGA